AATATCTAATTTAAGGAAATTCGTATATTATTAAGATTATGTATCTAATTACAATTTATATGGGATTTTTATTTACCTAAAAATTTTATTATCTTTGGGTCATAAACAATGTTATTAAACTCGGCCCAGTTAGTGACTCGGTCGGGATACTGGTTTAATGAGTTACTGCTTCAACCAGTGGGGTCAATGGTTGAACTCGTTACCCGATATATATATATATATATATATATATATATATATATATATATATATATATATATATATATATTATATTATACTAAAATTTTTAAAAATTATAACATAAACTAACTTAAAAAAATAATAATAATAAAATAAAAGAGTAAAAAGAAAGGAAAATTAAAATATAAAACTACAAGTTACAATTAAATTTTAGCCTTAATCCAAAAACACAAATAAAAGAAAAAGAAAAGATAAATAAGCCCAACACCAACAACCCATCTTTCATTAGTTAACTTTGACCCACAAACTTTATTTGTTACTACCTTCATAAAAAACCCTAGCCTCCATCTGATCATCACCCAAGAACTTTAGTTGCCGTGTGTTTCAGAAATTGCCATCAAATCGAGTCACCCTTGTCTCGGCTTCCATTCCTTCCCAAATTCTTTTGATCTAAAGCAAAGCATAACAAGATAGCCCTTATGCCAAAAGCACCGTTCGAAGTAAAGCATTAGGTGATATCTCTTCCTCTGCCAAATGTTTGCTGATGGTTGACATCCATCGAAGGTCTCCACCTCCATTTCAATCAGATAACTCCTCCATCATGCTACATGTGTGTCCCGACCAAGCACATCAGAAGATGTTTCATTTTTTTAAATTGAATGACCCATTTTTTTGGCAACCGATTTTTTAAAAAGACCGGTTCATACCAGTTCACATGCATGTTTGATCTATTATATAACTTGAACCGATTAATATGGTCGGTTCGTCGATTCCCGAGCTGACTCGATCGGTTTGAGCCTGGTTTTATAACACTGGTCATAAATACCCTTTAGTTATTTTATATAATTAAATCTTTTGCATAATTGCTAATTGATATTTTTTTATTAGGAGAGTATGATACGTAAATCAAAGGAATACTTCACCATAAAAGAATACTCTAGATGTAAATAACATAATTATTATAACTCCACAGATAAAAAAATAAAATAAAATAAGAATTTGCCTTCTTTAACAAGGATGCACAGTATAAGGAAAAGTGCGGAGTTATAACCATTGATTAATAAATCTGAGATTGAGATTATAATAAGATACATGCACATTTATAACAAACAGATAATTAACTTGTTAAAATCTTCGCTTTTTCATGTGAAGTGCACCCCTCATTTTAAGGAGTCAAATACTTAAAATAACACAAATGATTCTTGGTCTGCGTCAGTGGCAGAGATGTCTAACCGTAGGTTAGCTGGTTGATGTAGGATTTAGATGCTCTCTCTAGATACTGGTGGATTAGGTATCTTGGGATAGCGAATCACAACACACGATGTAACGACCTTTAGCCAAAGAGAGAGGGTGGTGTGTGTGCTGTGTGATTGCATAAAATAGGTTAGAGGAAGATCCGTCATACCTGTGGTCTTTAGCTCCTATTTATAGAGTTTACCTTTGGGGTTAAGTTGTCTGGACCTCCCAAGGATATGGGCCTTACACTGGTCCATAAGAGTTTCCCCCAGCTCGATAGACTGATAACTCAGGGTGCCGGGATGGATAAGTTATGTGTTTCAATATGGATGTCTTTACCTCGGATTAGTCTTTGATTCGGTTCTCCTCCTCCTTTGATCTGACCTTGAAGGTTATAGCTGAGATACTCTAGCTGACCTCAGATAAAGATTCTATTCGAGGTTCCTCCTTTAACCTGACCAATCTTTACCTAGCCAGGAGGATTAAAGCCGATATATCCCAGTTTAATCATGATAAAGGTTCCTTTGAAAAACGATTCTTTTCCCACGTAATGATAACTTCTTTCCATGTGGCTTTCCCTGACATATGAGACGTGTGCCACTACTCCCTTACACGCCGCCTCACATTAATTTGCAACTGTCAGAACGTCCCTCAATTGTCCTGTCTGCTAACAAATTTACCTTCGTACCCATGTCCTTTCGTTTCGCGGATTTTGCCCATTCAACTTTATTTTCCTCTCTTACATTTTCATTTCGTATCTGTTCATTTTGGTATCTGTTCATTTGTCTCTGCCTTGCTCCTTCTGCACTTCCTTTCCATTCGTCACCTTCGCAGTTCTACGTTTGTAACTCTCTGAAGCTTACTTCAGGTATGCTCTACATTTTACTTATGGTTTCCATTTCTATTTCCACCTTGCCCTTTATATTTCCTCATTTTTTCTTTTCAACATATGCTGTAAACATGCATGCTTCTGCTGTTGTCATATTTTACGTTCTGTATATACACAATTTGGTTCTGTTCTTCTGATCACCCACTATTTACCACACTTTGGTATGTACTGCATTGCTTATAGAGGACATTCTTGCGATTACAACTTTTCACTATTCCTCATTTCAAAAACTCTTCTTAGTATGAGTAAGAGGGATTTCACTAGTCGAGGGAAACTTACTTGTCCTCGTGGCTTTGGCCGCAGTGATGAGATGGATGCAGAAGAAAAAGAAAGGTTTATCCAGAGCCTCTCTCTTGGTCCGAGGTTTTGGTTGTTTGGTACACCCCGGATCGAGGAAGAGACCCAAGCCACGTTATTAGGGGGCTATCGAGGAAGTGGTAGTAAGAGAGCGTCTCCATCTTCTCCTTCAACTTGCGAACTCAATCCAGGCATCCGCCACAACCCTAGGGGTTTTCCAAAACATACTACTCATAGCATAGGTCAATCCTCTATCCCCTTACGTTTACTCTCAAGTCCAAGTCATAACCCTTCTTTGCCTTCTCCTTCTAGTCAAGCCGTGGTAGTTACTCCGGATGGCAGAAATCCGGATCCTTGCTTTAATTGTGTTTATCTCAGTGCCCAATTTGTTGAAAAGGGGAACGACTTCATGGCCGACATAGTGTTAGGTAGTTGTACATATCATCCCGGCTCATCTACCCCAGCTCCTTTGGTTGTTTCAGATGACTCTTCAAGCTCTTCCCATAGTAGTTTATTTAGTTCAGGTATGTACTTTTTCTGTTTTTAATCCTCCCATGTTATTGTTCTAGGTATTTATGGAGTCACCTTCTGCAAAGTTAGGTGTGGAAATGCCCTCATCTAGTCAAGGACGAGAAGCTGAGGTGACCCCAGCTGAGCAGGGCTCTGCCCCTATTAGTAATGATCTTCGCAGACAATTTCCATGGATAATAGAGGAAGTTTTCAGCTTTAGATCCACCATGACTACTGAAAAAGTATCCGGGCTTCCAATAGGTAACCCGGTTGTATTCAACACTTTCTCTCCCGCAGACGATGAGCCTGTTTGCTCAGGCCGAAATCATGAAGAACCACATTTTTTTCTTTTATCGTGATTTGATTACCAAAATTGGTATCTGATTCCCCTTCTCTCCTTTCCAAATACAGCTTTTAAACCACCTCCTCCTTGCCCCAACCCAGATTCATCCTGACAGTTGGGCCTATATCGTTGCTTTCGAGCAGCTGTGCGTATCTCTGTCTTTACCTTGCACTGTTTCTCTTTTTCTCTATTTCTTAGTGTATACTCCCCGCACTGGTTCTGAACCTCCCAAGTTCAAAGGGTGGACTAGCATCTGAGGTCGTGCTAGCAACCCTTCTAGGAAGTTGTTTTCTATTTATAGCAATTCCTTCAAAGACTTCAAAGGCTCATATTTTAAGGTGATTGGCGAAGTCGGAGAGAGAGCATGGTTTATTGGAGAGGATGGAGAAGGAAAATTTCCCCTTTACTGTTCTCAAGAACATCACCTGCGTAGGTCGTCTGATTTTAAGTTGAAATTATCAAGGGAAGATAAAGTCAATGCTAAGGCTTTATTGGACCATGTGAACTCCCAGGGTCATTTGAACGCGGCTTCCTTGGTAGCCAGATCGCGGACCGGCCCAGACCTAACTAGTATGCCTATCCCATTGTTCCTTCCTTTCTGCACCACTTATTTTGTCTTACTTTACCTGTGCTTGTTTATTTGTAGGTTCCAGCATGGACCCCAACATTGAAGAGGAACCTGATTACATATTGTCTTTGCGAGGAAAAGCTGCAGCTCATCCTCCTCTAGCTGCGAAAAGGCAGAGAACTACTGAGTCTTCTATGACCACTACTTCTTCTACCCCGGTTGCTAATCCTGGTGTATCAGTACTAGATTTCACCAATGATTCTGAAAACTGGTTAGAGTCAGGTTGTAACCCGACTTCCCCTGCTGAAGGTACTGGAGGTATTACACGTTCCGTGGTACCTGTAATTTTCTGCAATGAGCCAGAACCCGGGCCTCATCTATCAAATTCAGCTCCATTGGCATTTTTTTGTTATTTTCTTCTTCTGTTTGCGATAATGCTTGAACTCTTCTCCAGGATGGTTCTCCTAGCTCTACTGGAATCATGGCTTCACATCCATAGATTAACCTGAATGGGGTTTCTCCTTTAGAGGTTTATGTCGTGGTTCTGTATCCATATAGTACGTAGTAAAACTCTTCTACCCATTTCCCCTTGGCAGATTGTTCTATCCTTTTCTTTAATCCTTCTATAATAACTTGGTTAGCTGCTTTCGCTTGACCGTTAGCTGTTTCCACTTATGCAAAGCGATGTCAGATATGAAGATTTGCATCAACTCTTAGAAAGCTTTGCTTGCAAATTGCGTTCCATAGTCAGTAACCACTTCACCTGGGATCCCAAACCTGCAAATTAAATTTCGTTCAAAGAAACGTTGTATACTGGCCAAAGTGATTGTAGCGACTAGCTCTGCTTCTATCCACTTTGTAAAATAGCCAACAACCACTCTTAAACACTTTAGCTGGCCTTCTGCTGCTGCAAATAGGCCTAAAAGGTCGATCTCCCATTTGAAAAATGGCCAAGGAGAAATAATTAGGTTTAGCTCTTATGGGTGAGCCAGAAGGTTCTTCCCATGCCTTTGACATTGATCATATCTTTGGACATGTTCTTTGGCATCATTACTTATGGACGGCCAGAAATAGCCAGCTCTAATCGCCTTTCGAGCTAAGGCCTTTTCTCCGACATGCTGACCATTTATTCCCTCATGGATTTCAGACAAGACATAGTGCGCTCTATCCGAGCTCATACATTTCAACAGAGGTGAGTAAACTCCTTTTTCGTAGAGTTGTCCTTCAACCATAGTGTACAGAGCTGCATCTCTAATTAGCTTCCTGGCTTCCTCCTTTCTTGAAGGAAATACCCTATTTTCCAGGTAATCTATGATGCTACAACGCCAATCATCTATCTCTGCTATTTGCATTACACAAGTGAGCTCTGGGATATTCTGCTCAACCACCGTCCTGTGATTTCCTCTTCCTTTTGTACTTGCTAACTTGGATAATATGTCGGCCCTGCCGTTTTCATTCCTAGGAATATGACTTATATCCACCTTTTCGAATTCCGCAGTTAATTGCTTGGCTGGGTCTAGATATTTGATCAATAATGGTCCCTTTGCCTGGTAACTACCTGCAATTTAAGAAGTAACCAGTTGAGAATCACTAAAAACCTGTAACTTCCGTGCTCCGAGTTCCTTAGCCTGCGTGAGTCTGGCTATGAAAGCTTTATATTCCGCCTGGTTGTTTGATGTTTCAAAACTCATTTGTATTGAATACTCCACTGATACTCCTTCGGGACTTTCAATGATAATCTCGGCTCCACTTCCTTTTGAGTTGGAGGAGCCATCCACGTATACTTTCCAAAAATCGAGGCTGTGTGAACTCTCGGTTTGGATTGAGGTGAGCTCCTTGACGAAATCTGCTAGTGCTTGAGATTTGATAGCTTTCCGACTTTCAAAAGTTATGTCGAATTCTGACAATTCAATAGCCCAGCTCATCATTCGCCCTGCCAAATCAGGCTTGTGAAGGATCTTCGAAATTGGCAAATCTGACCAGACAACAATTTCATGCCCTTGGAAATATGGTCTAAGCCTTCCAGCATAAATTAGTAAAGAAAATGCCACTTTTTCCAATTTCTGGTATCTGAGCTCCGCTCCCTGTAGGAGCCGACTTGTGAAATAAATCGGCTGCTGTCCTTTTTCATCTTCTTGCACTAGAACCGAACTGATAGCAACATCACCCACGGAAAGGTATATTATTAAAGCTTCCATTTCTCTCGGTTTTCTCAAAACTGGTGGGGAAGCCAACTGCTTTTTTATTTCCTGGAATGCGGCTTCACATTCCGCGTTCCACCCATATTGTACCTCCTTCCTCAATAATTTGAAAAAATGTAGCGTTGTTTCTGCAGATCGAGGTATAAATCTAGTAAGGGAGGCTAGCTTCCTCGTCAATTGTTGTATTTCTTTCTTACTTTTGGGAGCCTTCATATCTAGCACTGCTCTGCATTTATCCGGGTTAGCTTCGATACCTCTATGAGTTAACATAAAACCAAGAAATTTTTGTGCATGGACTCTGAATGCACACTTTGCTGGGTTCAAGCAGATATTCTACCGCCTCAACTTTTCAAAAGTCTGCTCTAAGTCTTCAATATGCACCATTGACTCCAACGACTTGACTATCATATCATCTATATACACCTCTAAGCTTTTTCCTAGTTGATCTGCAAACACTTGGTTCATCATCCTCTAATAAGTAGCCCCCAATTTTTTGAGCCCAAAAGGCATCACAAAATACCAGTAGTTAGCCTTTCCCGAGATGAACGCTGTTTTCTCTTGATCTTCAGGGTGTAATGGAATTTGATTATACCCGGAGTAAGCATCCATGAATGACAACATCTGGAACCCTGAAGAGCTATCAACCAATTGGTCTATATTAGGCATTGGATATGAATCCTTTGGACATACTTTATTTAGGTCGGTATAGTCCGTACATACCCTCCACTTTTCGTTTGGCTTTTTTACCATGACCACATTAGATAACCAGGTGGTGTATTGTATTTTCCGGATAAATCCAGCCTCTAAGAGTTCCTTGACGTGATCCTTCAACACTTGCCGACGTTCAGGGCTGAACTTCCTTTTCTTTTGAGTTATTGGCTTAGACCCCGGATATACTGCCAGCTTATGACAACAGAAGGTAGGGTCTACTCCAGGAATTTTTGTTGACTTCCACGCAAAAATGTCCTTGCTATTCCTTAAGCACTTAACAAGCTGATCTTTAACCTCATCCTTCAAGCCCTTGCCGATCTTCGTGACTTGGCCCTTGATCCCTAATGGTTACTTCTTCTAATTCTCCATCGAGTTCTGGCCTTGGCATCTGAGTATCGTCTCTCATGTCCAACTCCACCATGTTAACTGATTTCTCTGTCTTCTGGCTTGGACCGACCTGGCTTGTGTCATTATCTTCTTTAAGTTGAGTTGAGGATATAGGGCCATTTCAACTGCTCTAACCAACTTAAAATAGCATTCCCAAGACTCTTTTTGATCCCCTGAAATGGTGATCACCGTGTTATGTTTTCCAACCATCTTTGTCTTTTGATGCTTGGTAGATACCAACATATCCCAGTTATGAATAGTTGGTCTTCCCAATATCACATTATATTCTGAAGGGAAGTCGGCTACAATGAACTGTACTCTCTCCCAACATGTCCTAGCATCACATCCTATAATTCTTATTTGGTAAAATACAACAATTGTGGCTTTGGTTGCTCGGTTTCTTTCTTGAATACAGGCTATTCTCGGATTGAAAGCACCTCCCGCAAGTATTTCCTTCTGGAATTCATCGTGTCACCTCCTCCCCCAAAAGCTCCACTAATGACATTACACTCAAATTCTGGCTCGACGAATTCATCCTTTTCTTTAGCCGGCTTCTTACCTCGGCTCTCCTCCCTCAATCTTTTCTCTTTGGCAGGGCTCATTTGCCGACCTTTCCGTTTCCTTTTATTTCTCCAGCCCTGGGTTCTTATGAGATATTGACGCAACTTGTCATCTTTGATGTATCTTTCAATCGCATCCCTTAAGTCCCAGCATTCATCGGTGGTGTGTCCTAGTCCGTCATGGAAAGCACAATACCAAGATTGATCTAACCCGGCTTGTTTAGCAAAGGCCGGGGACTCTCCACTTTTTTTCATTTCGGTAGAAGCCACCTCCTTCCAGATTTGCGACCTGGGTGAATTAAGGGGTGCGCATTTTTCAAACCTTCCCCTTGCTGGAGCTCTTTCTTCTTGCCTCTTACCCTGGAAATCATTTTGTCTTTGATTCCCAGGTTTTTCAATTTATTCGGGCTTTGCCTCTGATCCATATTTTCTATCTCCATCTATTCCAGCTCAAGATATTTCTTCGACCGAGCCATGAACTCTACCAACGTCCAAACCGGATCCTTATATATAGATTTAGCCAACCTAGAGGATCCATGCAGCCCTGATATCACTAAATGTAGATGGACATTTTCAGATAACCCTGGAACCTGTAAAGCCGCCACTTTAAAGCAGTCCAAGTATTTTTGTAAAGTTTCGCCGGGTTGCTTCCTTATTTTTCCCAAGGCGAATTCGGACTTCGGCTGTTTTTTGCTAGTAGCAAAATTCAACAAAAATCTCCCACCAAACTCCTCAAAGGACCTGATAGATCCGACTGGTAGTGATGACAACCACATTTGAGCTGCTCCTGTTAAGGTGGTTGCAAAAAGTCACGTGATTAATGGCTCTTCTATCCCCTTGATGTACATGGCCGTATCAAAAGCATCCAAATGCACCCAGGGATCTTGAGTCCCATCATACTTAGGGAGCTCCGAAAAGTTTAAATTTTCTGGGAAGGGCGCATCAACGATCTCGTCCACAAAAGGACTATAATTGTATTGCCCCCTATTGTACTTTCTCCTATATACCCTGGACACATCATCCGGGTTTCTAATTCGTTGCCTTCCGACATAAGGCGGGACATCCTCCGTTTGTATCAGATTTCTCTCTCCACCTCAGCTCCCATCATGCTATGTTTCTTGATTTTGAATCAGGTTAATGACTACCCTTTGACCTCGGCTGTCGGCGTTCCTCGTATGACCCAGGATTCGTGATCCTCAGGTCAGTCATGACTTGTGTTATAGCTCGCGTAAGATCCGGGTTCCTGGCCTGCCACAACCGAGATTCCAATTCTCGAATCTGCCTAGCATCCACTTGTCTTTGGAGCTCGTTCCTTCTCTCCATCTCTTCCATCCTCCTAAGCACCACAACAACAGCTAGATCTGTCACTCGCTGGTCGTTATTTGCACCATTAGGCATTTGTCCAGCATTCACAACCTGTCTTTCAATCGGCTGCAACCCTTCCACATATGGAGCATGGGGATTGACTGCTGGAGTTGATGTTGAATCGGAATGCACATCACTGACATGAACGACATTGGTGTCTACCTGCTGATGATTATTGGGCACATTCTGCCCCGATGGATCCTCCCTAATTGGGGGGATTGGTTCATGTCTAGGATTCGACATCGATGGCTGCCGGTAACCGCTCCTGGTTGTCCGCACCATTTTGATTTCTGGCTTTTAACCATGTGGTCGCGGGTTCGATCCCCACAGACGGCGCCAATGTTCTGCCTCAGAGGCAGAGATGTCTAACCGTAGGTTAGCTAGTTGATGTAGGATTTAGATGCTCTCTCTGATACCTATGGATTATGTTTCTTGGAGGTAGCGAATCACAACACACGATGTAACAGCCTTTAACCAAAGAGAGGGGGTGGTGTGTGTGCGGTGTGATTGCAAAAAATAAGTTAGAGGAAGATCCGTCATAACTGTGATTTTTAACTCCTATTTATAGAGTTTATCTTTGGACTTAAGTTGTCTGGACCTTCCAAGGATATAGGCCTTGCTCTGCTCCATAACAATTCTAATATATTCTACATTGATTTAGACTCCTTTGATGAATATTTTCAATCATATGCAAGTCTGCACATTATGTTATAAGATATATTTATAGAATTTCATAATATTATCTACCTAATTGAAAATTTTATTAAATTATAGAAACTTATTTAAAAAAGATTATAAGTATAGAGATTCTTTGAAAAAAATTAAAATTATAATGTTCTTAAAAATTAAGTAAAATCCAAATTTCTTAGATAGTAATTTAACAATAATTATATGTCACTCGATGGACGACAGCACATACTTTTGTACACTTTCCGTAGTTTGGTAATTGGTTGTTTTACATACACATCACGCTTCGATAGAATCCTGAAATCACGCTGTGTATGGGTTCGATGAGCAGACAACAAACTTTATATTAAGAGCTTTTGACCCAACGAATACCACAAGTAGTGTGAGATTGGTATATTGGTTTAAGCAATTTTTACGGTTTAAAATTTCTCTTCCTAAAATTATTTTTTATACATATATAAAAGGGGCAGGTTATATTTACAAATTTTTTTTGTTTACAAACTCTTACAAATTACACTATTTTCTCCCGAAAGAATAGAGACTTTTACAAACTACACTATGTTCTCTGAGGAGAACATAGTGTAATTTGTAAAAAAATTCAAAAAAATTTGTAAACAAATCTTGTCCCTATATAAAAATGAGGAAGGTTATACTTACAATCTTATTTTTTTACAACCTCTTACAACCATATCTTAACACCGTTGATTTTCGTCAATCAACGGTTATCAGTTATTGTGAATTAATAATTATTATTAATTCACAATAACGGATAACCGTTGATTGACGAAAATCAACAGTGTTAAGATATGGTTGTAAAAGATTGTAAAAAAAAGAATTATAAAAAAAAATTATAAGTATAACCTTCCTCTATAAAAGTATATGATGCTTATTTGGGGTCATACAAGATAAGAGAGAAAGAGAAAAATTAAATCTCATACACTTTTATACGTGTATAAAATATAATTTCGTTTTATACATTATGAAAAACTTTAAACCTCAATGTTTATTGCAAAAACAAAAACATTACTTTTTCTAAGGTCTTTGACCCTGCCCAAAATAATTCCCTTATAAATAATTTGGGGTTGTTTTTATCGGGTCGCAGCAAAAAACAACATCTTTCCTGCTGATACATTGATTGTGGTGATTGTTTTATTTTGTTTTTTCATTTTTTTTTACTAATGGGACCCTCAAGTTTTTATTAGTGGTTTTAATTTTTCCAGTAACATAACATTTATATTTTCCCTAAATAATTTGGGTGAATTGATTGATCTCAATAGTTCCCAAGAAATTTCATATCAGGATTCACTGCTAAGCACTAATTTCTTTCTCCCCCAACAACTCATCCATCTGATGGAATAATTTCTCACTCACGGCACCGAGATAGTGGGCAAAAAAAGTTATAGTCTTTTTTTTTTTAGAGATAGGGTATTTTTACTATCAAATTTTTTTAGTATCACTCTAATCATCATTAAATTAGAGAAAAAGTTAAATGAGAGAAAAAAAAAAAAACTTTTGAATCCAATAATAATTAGAGTAATAGTAAAAAATTTTGATAGTATGAATATCTTATCTTTTTCTTTTATATCACGAGGGAATACTTCTCACCTATATATACCTCTTTCATCACTCAAAGAGTGTCTTACATCCATACATTTTATTAGTTGTTATTATGTTGAAATAGAGCTACCATTCTCTTACGCAATCTCTCTTGTTAGCTGTACCCGAAATACACATCTATGGTAATTTTATAAGAGTTTTGGTTCATACCACTTTCTTTAAAACCACCCATACAATTATATATAGAATACATACCAATACATACCAAGCTCTACTACACAACAATATCTGTACTGACTTTATTTTCACAAATTTTTAACAAAATCAAGCAAGTGCATTGTGATAATGTTGAGATAGATTTGATCAAGTGGAATGATTCATCACCCACCATTATCATTTTCAAGACCAAATATCTTTGTTTAGTTGATAGGTGTGAAGGTGCACTTGCATTTTGTCTTCAGGAAAATTATTTGTGGACCAGTTTTAGGACACCAAATTTGTGGACCATTATCATCCTCACATCCTTGGAGCATACATAACATTTGAGGCATATACAATGAATGCACACTCTTTGGTTCAAATTTGTCATACTGACATCATCTATATCAACTACGGATGAAAATTCCAAATTGTTGGAAACAAAAGAATCTCATAATTCAATTAATCTGTAAACTTCACGTGAAACTGAGGCTGTAAAGTTTTTCATATCTACTTCTCTTGTTGACACTTTTTATTCTATGTGCAACTCAAAAGGGAAAATCGCCATTATGATAAGGAAAAAGAAAACATTAATCGGATTTTCAGATATATGTTTGATATTAATTTTTTTTTTCCTTTTTTTACAAATCAATCATAGAAAACAAACAACAAAGGCATCCCCCTACGCACATTATTTTTTCTAAATAAATAATTCAAGGATCTGTTTTCGCTTTCTTATTGTTTATTTAAATCGCACTTTTAAGTTTTAACATATTAAAATTTTACCAAACGATGACATCTCAGTTGACGCATCGAAGTTGAGCATGTGAGAGTGAAAGAATGTGTTCGATTCTCCCCAATACTATATCTTTGAGAGGGATTTAAAGTCTTAATTCTGGATCCGTCCCGAACAGGATTGTCTCCTGTTGAAGATAGCATTTGTTGATCAAAAAGAAAAAAATATTAAAATTTCAACCGGCATATGTTTATCCGATTTTTTATACACGATTAAAGACAAGACCCTTAATAATTTGTTTTAAGAATAACAAAAGTAGCAGCAAATGAACTCTGAATCAGCAAGATAATAATCAAGCTCGAAGACTCAAAACATTCGGATCAACACCAAAACTTATCTTATGTTTTCAGATTTTATTTATAATAGCTGAGAAACATATAAATCTAAATGCTAATTGATTACAAACCAAATCAGACAACTATTAAAATGGGAAACAATTCTAGAATGGCTTCACCTGTCCAATTCCATGGGTGGGCACTCACGAGCCAATTTAAGTAATTATTTCTCTACTTCAAAGTGAGATTTTTAGACCCTCGTAACAAAGGATCTCTCACTCCTTGCACTAGCTCACTTCATAGAATAAATTTTTGGTGCTACTGCTGCACTAAATATTCAGTGTATCTCATTCATAGAAATATTACATGTCGGTCGAAATTTTTTTTTCTCTGCCAAATTATTTCTCTCTCCTCTGATGTGTAATGTTTCTATTGATGGGATGCATTGAATCTAGGTGCAACAGATGCACCTAATATTTATTCCACTTCATTTGCATGTAAGCGGTGTGTTTGTCTCGCGCATTACAATGGGACCCACTCACACATATAAATACTCATTTTCAGCCATTTAAGGGGCATCTTGCATCTAGCCACCGTGCCCTTTCACCATCCCCTCTCTCATCCTTTGTCAAGAGTTTGGTTTGGTCCATATCAAGGTATCCAAGAGCACATTGAGATACTTCGTCCTTAGATAGACCTAAACTCCTCGAGATGGACTCAATTTCCACGTTCCCACTGACTATAGTAATATGATAATAGTATAGGTCTTTATTATATTCCTTTCCTTTGCATTCAACCTTCACAACCATAACTGGGTTAGTAAGCCAGAGAACCATCCCCGAACCAACAACTTCTCAGATATTACCATGCTATCTCAGTCGTTTAATATGATTGCAACAATAATAATACTAGTTATAGCACAAATAACTTCAAGAGTGAATTCGTTTTCAGAAGCTGATAAGATAAGCACTTTGCCTGGGCAGCCACAAGTCAAATTCCAGCAATATGCTGGTTACATTACAGTGGAGGAGAAGCAGCAGAGAGCTTTGTTTTATTACTTTGTTGAAGCTGAAGTAGAACCAGCTTCTAAGCCATTAGTTCTCTGGTTAAATGGAGGTATACTCTTATGTACATGGCAAAACATGTTTTTTTTTAATGGAATCAGAATGAACTCTTTAGACCAAACGATGGTAGCTCAGTTGGCGTATGCGAGCTAAGTAGGTAGAGGTAAGAGCATGTGTTCAATACTCTCAGTACCATCTTTGGGAGGGACTAGTTTAAAACTTTAATCCTGAACCTGTCCCGAACAAAATTGCCTTCCGTGAAGGATATATGTGATTTATCAAAAAAAATAAAAAAAATATGAACTCTTTAGATTCATTGGAAGAAGAAATTAAGATGCTGTCTTGGTTTTTGAAGGGCCTGGTTGTTCTTCTGTTGGAGCTGGAGCTTTTGTTGAGCATGGCCCTTTCAAACCCAATGAAAATGGTCTTGTGAAAAATGATTACAGTTGGAACAAAGGTAATCCTACAACTCTGTATGTATGATATCATGCTAACCTTTTAAGGATTTAATAAAAAAATTGCTTATTGATTTCCTCCTTGTTGCAGAGGCAAATATGCTGTACTTGGAATCACCTGCTGGTGTTGGTTTCTCCTATTCTGCCAATAAATCTTTCTATGACTTTGTGACCGATGAAATGACAGGTTCTTCCACTTCATTTTGTGCAAAATAGCATTTAAATTGCTTAATAGTTAACCATCTTATAGTTTAGTTTGCATTCAAATTATGATATTCAAGATCTGATGATATTCCATTCTGTACAGCAAAGGATAATCTTGTTTTCCTACAGAACTGGTTCTCTAGATTCCCAGAGTACAAAAACAATGACTTCTTTATCACAGGGGAGAGCTATGCAGGTAGTATCTTTGTGATACATGAATAATATTTTTTTTTTTCGTTTTGGAGCTGCTGTGGAGTAATTCGTACTAGTTTTCAGGTCATTATGTACCCCAACTTGCACAACTCATTGTTCAAACCAAGACCAAGTTCAATCTCAAAGGGATAGCAGTGAGTACAAAGATGGGACATTTCTAATAGTTAAATTAAAGTATAAGAAAGATTTTGGTTAATTTGATAGCACAACAGGTTCATATGTTAATTAATATTCGCAGATAGGAAACCCACTACTGGAATTTAACACTGATTTCAACTCCAGAGCTGAATTTTTCTGGTCCCATGGACTGATATCAGATTCAACTTTCGAAGTGTTTACTAAAGTATGCAACTATTCCCAAATTAGGAGACAATCTCAAACTGGGACACTTAGCCCCGTTTGTGCAGGAGTAAATAAACTAGTGTCAACAGAGGTTAGCAGATATATTGATACATATGATGTTACTCTTGATGTGTGTCTGTTATCAGCAAATCAACAGGCTTTTGTGCTGACTCAACTGGTACACTCTTCATCCGGTCTCTCACAATCTTAATTCTCTTTTTCATCACTTGTTTTCCTATTCATTTTCATATCATCTCACATGCAGCAAGAGGGAGAGAAGATAGATGTTTGTGTCGAAGACGAAACATTCACATACTTGAACAAGAAAGAAGTGCAGGAAGCTCTCCATGCTAAGCTTGTAGGGATCACCACATGGTCAACTTGCAGCGAGTAAGTTCTATTGCCTAAAAGATGCTATAAAACAAATTGCACTCAAAGTGCTTGTTCATACCATTAATTCTCTCCTTTTGTTTGAGGCTTACATTGGTTGTTGATCACTATTTCCTTTCTTTTTACAGTGTTCTCAAATATGACATGCAGAATCTAGAGATTCCAACCATTTCAATTCTAGGGGCACTTGTTAAGTCAGGTATCAGGGTTCTGGTATACAGGTAAGTGAATATATATATATAGTTTTTTAATCACCATCATCTTAATTATGTTCCTATCATTTATTTATCAAGGCAAAACAATTTTAAGCAAGCAAAGCTATTTCTCTCTCTGCAGTGGAGACCAAGATTCAGTCATCCCATTAATTGGGACAAGATCCCTGGTAAATGATTTAGCCAAGGAGTTTGGACTGAATACAACAGTGTCATATAGAGCCTGGTTTCAAGCAAGACAGGTTAAGACTTGGAATGCAGTAAATCCTGAAAAAATTTCTTACTTTTTGCCCTGAAGTCTGACTCAACCTTTTTTTTCCAATATTTTTCAGGTAGCTGGATGGACACAAGTATATGGCAACATGTTATCATTTGCCACCATAAGAGGAGCAGCTCATGAAGCTCCGTTTTCACAACCAGAGAGGTCACTAGTGCTGCTAAAAGCATTTTTGGAAGGAAAGCCACTTCCAGAACTATTGTCTTAAATATGAATAGATAGATAACAGTGGTGCTTGTACCACAATAAGTAGAAACTCATATAAACTCCTCACAGAAATGGATTATTGCTATTGGATCACGGATCACCTTCTATTTCATTCCGTACAATGAATAAATGTTACATGTACTGTCATTGGTTGACCAAAACGAAATGATCCTACAAAAGTACCCACTAATTTATTGGTTCTACTTGCAAACATGAAATGTGATTTGACTTTTTCAACATTATTTAACATGGATATATTGTGGTGGGCCTCACGGGCCTCCACCAATTATTTTATATCGAAGAAATGAGAGGGGAACAAGGGCATGTTGGGGAATGAGATGGGAAATGAATTGGAGGAGATTGTTCTGCAAGAAAAAGTGAATCTAACTAACGGACAGGAGGCACAAGGGAATTGGTGTAGAGGATTTTGCTTTTCTGAAATTCTCTTTTGTTTTCTTTCTTTTGTATTGTTTATATATTGTGTTGGTTTGTTTGGGGGTTGGAAGCAATGGTGTGAACCTAAAGTTGACAGAAGGCAATTCTGATGGTGGACTCCCGAGGTATCACAGTTTCTTGTACCCAAATCTTGTTGATGAGCTCAAAATCCCCACTAGGATAACCGAGAGTACTTTATGGAGATGGGAACTGGTCAACAATTTAGGAGTCAAGGTGTGGGATTACAGCTACCAAACCTAAGGGTTGTTTAAAATTTCTATTTATTTGAACTAAGTGAGGTGGATGCAATTTTGGGATGCAAATGGTTGAAAAGTTTTGAGAAAATATAGTGTTGGTTTGAGACACCATTTGTTTTAGATTCAGGAAAATGGATAAATAATTTAGGTAAAAAGGTCCCAAGGCTATTGACAACAATGGCACCCATAAATGCATTTACGAAGGAGATGCTTATGTGGAGTTCTACATAGTGCGTTCAATTAAGGAGCTTCTAATCGAATATAAACAACTTCTAAAATAATCAATTAACATATTTATATAGGAAGACAACTTAAACCACGTTTCCAAAAAATAAACACACAGTGGATTGAAAAACTCATCTCTTAATGATTCAACATAAAGTGGCTCTAATACCACTTGTTAAAAACTTAGTTACTTCAAAGATGAAAACTATCATCAAAAACGATTTTTCATATTAAATCATTAATAGAATGAAATCCAGTAGAAACATACCTGAATACATGGAAAATTTGAATGAGGAACTCGTGAATTCTTGATCTTCCAAGTCTTGTATGCACAATTCGTCTAATGTTTGGAGTTTTTTCGTTTCTAATGATGGGATGTAAAACAAAATGTCCGTATGACTTGAGGACCAAACCCTTTCATGGAGAATAATGACTTCAGAACTTTTTTTTATTTCTATTTTAGCCCATCATGAAAGAAGAAAAAAGATTTTTAGAATCTACACAATACATAATCCATACCAAATAAGATGTCATTAATCCCAATAACTTAATCCATATAAGTTCACTTCAACAGGACTAATATTTAATAACTTCCAATATAGTATTAATGATATATGTAAGCCTACATATTAAATATATATCTTACACATCACACAAACCCTTTAGCAGAATGCTATTACATCTACACCCTCTTTCAGACTAGAAGCTATGTTATTGACAATCAAGTCACAGATCTTAATTAATAATGCCAGTCTCAAACTCGCATACACATCATTCGACATCTATAGGGTTTTTCCCATCTAATAACAGTTAAGACTTATTGTTTTGTTTTGTGTACACCTGAGATCTGATTCTATCACATTCTCCGGATGTGAATAGATGTGATTTTTTAAGATGTGCAACAAACATTATCCTAAAGTATAATGAGATAGTTTCCAGATCTACAATGAGAACAACTCCCTTACATATGAGACATCTTTTGAAAGAAACATAGAGCTCATCAAGATAAAACGAAGACAACCTTAACCAAGAGAGCAAAGTAGTAGCCACTCAACGTGTATTTTATAGATACATAGACTCAAAAAACTCCATTACATATAATTTGAAGATATGTACAAGAAAAGTTCAATAATTTTACTTTTGGCTAGGGCACAATGTACACTTAGTTCATAGAGATGAATAAATTGGCACACCTGGTAAGGTGGCTCCAAAATCAACAATAAAATTATTGCCCGTGACATATTCAGAAGAATCATGAATTAGGTAACGAGCTAGAGATGTTAAAGCTGGATCCGAAGTGCCTAAAGTTCTCAAAGGAAATATTTTCTTTGCCACATTATTCAGCCAATCTTTCTGCATCAATTTTTCAGTGATTTCAGATTTAAAAATTCCAGGGGATATGGAATTCACTCTGATTCTGTGTACCCCCAATTCCATAGCCATGACCTATCAAATACCATAAACAAGTTAATGATATCAATATGTTTTTGATTAATCATTATGAACAGAAACAGAAAAATCTAACATGCTTTTATGATTTTTGTGAATGACACTATATGAAAAGAACATGTTGAGTGTGACAAATTTAGAGCACAATGCCATAAGTACTGTATATTGTATTGTGGGAATACACTAGACAATTTAGAAGTCGTGGGAATCATAAATCCTAGTTATGTATTTTTGTTTCATTGGAATATAAAGGGCAGCAATAAGGAAGTTTAATTTATATTGCTTATATAGGAAAAGAATAAAAAGTTGTTCCTACCTCCTCACCTTTAATGCATACAGATAATCCTTCTATATTTGGGGGGTTTTGAAAAGTGATAGTAGCAAGCTCCTAAACCTTGAGACAAAGAGAGAACAAAAGGAAAATAGAGAGAAATATAGCTTCAATGAATATTCACACATACAAGGTCCTATTTATAATGACCCAGAAACCACGTAAAGTAACTAAGCGAATTGATATACCCTCTAACTAATAAAACCTCCTAACTGATACAACTTCTTCTACAACTACTTACTTGCTCTAGCTGGTCTTCCATTCATAAATTATCATCACCTTTGAAAGGGACCTTGTTCACAAGGTCCAAGTGAAGGTGAAACCTTAAGATCATTTGTACCTGCAAGGTGCAGGTACATCACCATCCGCTTCCTCCGGATCTCCAATCATCAAGAGGAGTTTGTTGTTTCACTTGTGATGAACTGACCTTTTCTCATCACAATTATAGCATAATCCAAGCTCACACTTCATATGTAATTCATCAGGTGATAACCATTTGACGGGTAGCGAAGATGGCAGAGCTAATTGTTGCACTGCCTGTCAAGATAGAGTGGGTGGAATACACTGCATGCTACAGAGACTGAAGGTGGATCGCATTTCAGTGGGGTGAGCATCATTTGCCAAAGTTAATTGCATAGCTTGGTGCAAATTCGTAAGCCGATGGAGGTGAATGGTTCTTCACAAATCTGCTTGAAAACCAAAGAAAAAAAGAACACATCAAAAGATCATCACTCAATCCACAAACCTAGTTCGTCAGGCTTTCAAACCCACAAATGTAGTTAACAAAGGACTCTAATTGCAACAACTTCGACAAGACCCCTGTGAGCTCCGCTTATGAAGACGCACCAAAATGCTGTCTTAGAGCATGAGTGGAATCAGTTCAAGAGATGATCATACCACCATTGTACAGCCACAAGTACCACAAAGAGGTTGGTCCTTCCTTACGCACGCCTGCCAACAGAACTTGAGCTCTTCAGGCACCTGTTGAAGCTAAAAGAACATGTCAAATTTAAAGGTCCAGTTGTTTGAATATGAACAATCAAACCAAGGAATTTCCACTTGGACGAACTAAAGCACAGAATGTGAATTTGCTATAGCAATTTTCATATGTATAGTTGGATCTCCGAGGAGAGCTTCCAACGCAAGCATGGTCTCGCGTACTTGTTGCACCTGAGCAACATGCAATGAAAATTGGCTCTAGTTGTTATAGAACTTATACTGCATTGGAGCAAGTTCGTCGATGATGGGCATGGGAAGTATGTTGATAAGGGTAATAACAGAATTGAGGTGGTTAAGGAGAGAGAAAAGCAAGAGAGTTGGTTGGAGGATTCTTCCAAAATATACTTAGAGGATGAGATAAAAAGAGGGGGAGTTTTTGGAGTGAGGAATTGATGTATTGAGTGAACCTAGGGGTTAGGTTTAGGAGGAGTTGCAGGCAGCTCGCTTGGCAATTGGCAGATGTTGACACTTTTACCAAACAAACATTGGGGTGTCAGTAAAGGGGTTGTACCTCTATTTGTTAAGAGAAATAAAGAGTGAATTGTATTGGTTTTTATTATTTTGGTATCAGGGCACTTCCGATCTAGGGGTGCTACTGGTCCAAATCCTTGAAAGAGTGAAAAGTATGGGAGTAACCAGCATGTCTGAGTTCAAAAAAACTTTGAAAAAAATGGTGAAGGTTTTAGATGAGGAAATAGAGAAGATGGAGAAACCAAGCTTTGAAATCAAGAACAAGCACAATTTTGATGCCAAAAATCAGTCAAAGAAGAATCAAGAAGAGGCAAAGGCAGATATGAGATGAAAATCAGATTTGAATAAAATCAACGCAGATACTGAAAAATATGAAGGAATTGAAGACGTATAGGTTGAAGAAGAAGAAGACGACGTTAAACAAGAAGATGAGGATGAACAACAAGAAGAAGAAGACAAAGATGGGTCTCACGTTTTGTTTGATGGGACACAAAAGATTTTCAACATTCTTCCTATCAATGGGTGTGATTTAAGAGCAAAAATTACAAAGACAGGAGAGCGTTTGCCTCTCGATATTTTGGAGCAGATAATGGTGGAAGCACAACGTGTTGAGGGAAGAGAGGTTGTTTGTAGTCGAGTCGGAGCCCTAAATGGGCGAGTGGGAAATGGGTCTATTGCTGGGAGAGGGCATTATACCTGTCCAACTCTTCCAAACAAGGCTGTTAGTGGGGAAATACAGAAGCCAGGTGTTAGAGTATAATACAAACCATTAAAAAGGTCCTCACCTAACAGCTTAAGCTTTTGGGCTGAACTGACACTTTACATAGTATTAGAGCTTCAGTGACTACGAGATCACAGGTTCAATCCTCAACGCCTCCATTTAATTAATAACTACATAACTATTGTGGAGTTTGTTAACAGAGGTAGGTGGGCTGTGTATTGTCCACCTTTCAATTCTAATGGGCTCTCGTGTGAGGGAGCGTGTTAGAGTATAATATAAACCATTAAAATCGCCCTCACTTAACAGCTTAAGTTTTTGGGTTGAATTGACACTTTACACCAGTCACCAGGCCTAATGCTTCTAACATTGAAGCGCAAAATGGGCCAGTTGGTTTAGGCCCAACCCATCTAACGTAGACTGGCACCTAAACTAGTGAGGTTGAATCTTCAGAAACCCAACGGAAAAATACTGCAACGATGAGCAAAGGGAGTGGAAGTGTGGTTGGTCGAAACCTTAACAGCACTAGTGGCAGAGGAGGGGCCAGATTTCGATGTTTGTCGCCGGAGGATATAAGCGAAAAACAACGGAGAAACTTGTGCTTTAGATGTGGTGCACCTTATTCACCTGAGCATATATGCCAAAATTCACATCTCCACACCTTGCTGGTTGCAATAGTGGAAGTCGAAGTAGGAGAAGAAAGAGGGGGGTGGCTCTAAGGTTGAGTGTACAAGGCATGGTGGGTTGGAATTCCAATCGATTTTTTGAAAGGTCATCCCATAATTTTCTGGCCATTTATGTGATTCATGAATTGAAGTTTCCAATTAGGTCAATATGCTGCAAGCAATAGGATCCAGGTTGTAGGTTTCTCACACTTGGACAAGACTCTACCCTTTTCTTTCACCTTGAGGATAAGGTGAATTTTGGCTGAAGATTTGATGGGCATGAGAAGTATGCTGATAAGGGTAATAACTGAATTGGGATGGTTAGGGAAAGAGAAAAGGAAAAGAGTTAGTTGGAGGATTCGTCCAAAATATTCTTAGAAGATGAAATAAAAGGAGGGGGAGTTTGTGGAGGGAGGTATTGATGTATTGAGTGAATTCAGGGGTTAGGGTTAGGAGGAGCTACAGGGAATGCTCTAGGTATCTTTCTGTTTCTAGAATAAGTAGTCTCTTGGCAATTGGCAGACGTTGCCATTTCTACCAAACAAACATTGGAGTTTGTACAGGGGTTGTGCCTCTATTTGTTAAGAGAAATAAAATGATGAAACCCAAAACAATTTACTCTTCCCTGCCTACACACCATCATGTTATCTATAGGGACCTTCACCATCGCACTATTTATAATAATGGTTTCCTTCTCCATGTTCACCTCCACCTTGTTACCCCGAAGATGGTCTTCATGACCCAAATTCTCTACTCTGTTTGCCCTTTGTTTCTTCCTTCCCATCAATAGATAAGCCTCTCCATCTTTACCATAGTTATTTCAATTTTGTTTCTTAAACTAGTTTTGTTCAGCATTATTAGTTTCTTCTCCACCACAATGGATCTTGTTGTTGATCATCAAACCTTCACCTTTACTTTCATTTTCTAGCTCCAAAGATCATGAAATGTCACTACCACACTAAGAACCACTGCCCTCCAAGTTCTCCTCGAACTACTTGGTTGCATTCTGAGTCACGTTCAATCCAAAGGGTTTGTTCATTCACTGCTTCAACCTCAAGAATCATTCCCTTCATTTTCATCAATTGATGCATTATCTGCTTAGGTTTTGAAACATTAGAATTCAACGAATCAGGCTATAATCCATCATCACCGATCATCTTCAAGAACACCACTGAATTACGATCGCAAAAAAACAAATAGAGAAACAGTATGAAAGATTAAAATTAAAAGAACAAACCTTTAACAATCAGAGGAAAAAAAAAAAAAAAAAGTCTCCTCCAAAAGTTTCCCAAAATAATTGAGCTATTAACTTTATTTTCTTGATGCTAACAACTCTCTCCCCACTCCTGTCTATACTGTATACTACGATTCAACAACAAGTTTCTTAATCTTCGTTTTTTTAGTTTTTGCTATAAGCATCAATCCCTTAAAGTTGGTTAGATTATTAAGAAATCTAAAAAGGAAAACAAGTAAGAGAGAGAAAAAAAATTTAAAAATGGTGGTCTGGTTTTAAGAAAAATCACATATAAAATAATATTACCTTTGTCAGCATGTTGACACCTGCCTTCGATGATGCATAGGCAGCAGCTCCAGGCAACTGCCCCCGATTTAAACCCGCAGTTGAAGAAATATTAATGATTGATCCTTTTTGCTGGGCATCACACATGCGTTTGCATACATATTTTGACACCAACCAACAACCAGTTAAGTTAGTTTTGAAAACGAAATCCCATTCCTCCTCGGACAATTTTAAAGGTGATTTGACACTTCCTGCACAAAACAAAAATAGGAAACATGACCATCCTACCAAAAAAAGAAAAAGAAAATAGGAAACATGACAACTTTTAGGGATTCAAACCCATCGGTTAAGCAATTATGTTAGGCCCTCAATTTCAAGAAAAAAAAAATCGTTCTTTATTTTTTATTTGGGCATTCAATTGACCATTAATACACAATAAAAAAGCATATTTAAGGTTTATTATTGTTAGAGATGTAATATAAAATTATCTATGTTTAAGGTCATGGTATCATAGCCTCTATGACCAAGTGATATAGAGTTTGATCCTTGCTGCTCCATTCTTTTAGTAAAAATATAAAATTCAGCACAAGGTAGGTGGACTTGTATGTTGTCCACGCTTAATGCTCGATGGACTCTTGCTTGAGAGGTCTATTAGCTTACGCTTCTTAAACTTTTAGGAGATTGGTTCATGACAATTATTATAGTCAAAGGAGTATTTTGTTTATTGTTTTAGTTAAAGGAATAATCTACCCTAAATGATAATTTGTTCGACGACCGAAACCATCTACTACTAAGCTTTGTTTTAGTATAGGAGAAATAAACCATTTCAACTGCTGCTATACTTGTCATTTCAACCGAGAGACGTTGATTCGAAATTGATCTAAACATAATAAAAAGTTGTGATCTTATCTTAAACAGACTCAATGTGAAACCCTATTTTCTTTTTTTCAGTTTTAGAAACCAAATTAAACCATTGATGGATGCAAGCATAATACAAGTATCTTACGGGCGAATAGTAAAAACTTTTTTATTTTTTTCCCTCTTCCGCTTTTTCTCTTCTCTCAGTTGAGGGCACCCTATAAAGGGTATATATCCTCAAGCCTGTCTATATTTTCAAAGTCATCCTAACTAATATTTTTCATCAAACCAACGAGTATTTATCGAATAATTAAATTTGAATTCAAACACGAAAGAAAGCTCTTGATTCTATGCTAAATTCAACTAGCAGGTCCAAATCCTAACACAGTCTATAATAAAAGAACCACTTAGTTTTTTCAATTTTTTCTTTTAATTTTCGAAGAACTTTGCAATTTTTAGCCCGAAATTTTAGTTGTCAATTTTTTAAAACTCAAATATAGTTCAATTTCAATAGTTAAACGTGAAAATTGTTGATAGCACTAAAACTACTAAACTAAAATCAACAAATAGAACTTTCCTCATGTTTGATTCGAGAGGCATTCATTAAGGAAAAAAAAGGTGGAACCCTGAGAAGTTGTCGACGAGCTAATCTATGTTCAGCATGGGATATGAGTCCTTTGAATAAGCCTTGTTCATGTCAATGTAGTCAACACATACTCGCCATTTCTCATTTGCTTTCTTTACCAAAACTTGGAGAGCTAGGTAGTGTATTGAATTTCCCTTATGAATCCACCCTCGAGGAGTTCCTTGACATGCTCTTCTATTGCTTGTTTGCACTTTGGGCCGATCTCGCTTTTCATCTAAGAAACTAGCTGAACACCTAGATATACAAAAAGATGATGATAACAAAAGTTTTTGTCAATACCTGGTATATCGGATGACATCCAGGCGAATAAATCTTTGTTTTTCTTCAAGAAGGTGGTTAGTCTCTCCTTGTGTCTATGTTCTAGGGTTCCTCCGATCTTGGTATATTTCTCAGGAGTTTCTCCTAGTATCAAGTTCTCCAATTCACCTTCTAGTTTCGGCCTCGAGAGCTGGTCAGTCTCTCGCATGTCTAATTCGACCAGCATAGCCATGTTTTTGTTGAACTTGATCCCCTTGTGACGGATTTAGGGAGGTCAGGACAGTCCCCAATTTGTGATCTTCATTGCTCCGTAATAGCAAGTATGTGAGGTCTTTTGATCTCCTCTAATGGTTACTTCTTAGTACATTTAAACCTCATTACATGGTGAATGGTTGAAATCATTGCACGAAGGCGTGGATGGTATGTTAGACTAGGATGTCGGTGTATGCTGATAGGCAATTCACCACAATGAACCATACTTGCCCTATTCTAAACGCCTCCTTGGACCCTAGAGTTAGCTTTAGCTCAATTCACCCCTTAGTATCCATTGAATTAGATGAACTCTGCGGTGTATGGCTTGAGGTTGTCCTTGTCTAGGTTTAACTTATGGAATATATCCCGATATAGGATGTCGGACGAGGTCCCATTGTCTATCAGCATTTTTTCAACTTTGAAATTAACCAGTTTTTTTGTGATAACGAGGGTGTCTTCATGGCCTAGCAGCACTCCCTTCATGACTTCTTCAGTAAAGACTAGCGAAGGAGGATTCGGTTTAATGTTGCATTCTTTAAACACGGGCTTTGTCTTGACTGACAATATTTCCTTTAAGTACTTCCTTCGTGAATTAGCCGAGTCACCTCCTACCTCGTATCTGCCATAGATCATATTGATGTCAATCTCGGGCTCTTAATACTCATCACTGTTGCGAGAGTTGTGGGACCGGGATCATGCCTAGTGGTCATCCTTCAGATAGTCTATCTTCTTGTGATTTTTCTCAGGATAGCAGCTCCGACTTCTGCAACTTCTGCTTCTACTGCGTTGCTGCCTTTTATTGCTCTTTCGTTCTTGAGTACAGATGACGTATTGCCATAGCTTCCCATCTCAAACAACTTTCTTTATGACATCCCTCACGTCTTGGCATTCATCAATAGTATGACCATAACCATCATGAAAAGCACAATATTTGGTTCTATCAATCTTACCTCAATTTCGGATGGATTTTGGCATTTCTGCTCGCCTCAATTGAGTTTAGGGGACTTTTCTCCAAATTTGAGACCTTGAAATGTTCAAGGAGTGTAGCTCTTGTAACTCCCTCTAACAGGGCGGATGCTAATGTTTTCAGGGCAAATTTTCGAGTTCTTCTTGCTCTGTTGTTCATCTAAGTCACAGCGATAGCGAGAGGGATTGTGCTGGAGCTTAGCATTTGCCCTTTCAATTTCTTCAATGTGTATGTACTTAGATGATCTTGCTTTGAATTCGACAAGGCTGGAGTTCTTGTGGAGGGACTTCGAGAGAAACCCAAAGAGGAGTCCAACGAGGAGGTGCAAAAGTGGACTCTTTTGTCCAGGTTGTGGACTTGCAAAGCTTTCACGTTGAACCTATTTAGATATTCACTAAGAGGTTCGTAGTCCTGTTGTCGGATTCGTGACAACGCTAGTGATGACTTCAGATAGATACTATTGGTGGCGAAACTCAGTCGGAATTTCTGGGAGGTCCTTGAATCTGTTGATGGAGCACAGGGGTAATGCGTTGAACCATTTAAGGGCTGGATCAGTAAGCATGGAAGCGAAAACTCTGGTAGTGAATGGATCTTTTACTCCAGTCAGGTACATGGTCATCCTGAAGACGTCTAGGTGTTCCTCGGATCTTTGGTTCTATTGTATTGGGACAGGGATGGCCATGACACGATCCATGAATGGGCTGTCATTCCAAACAGGTTGCTTGTTGTTATGCGGTATTAGGGTCAAGCTCATAAATTTCAACTTGTTCTTCCAAACAGGTTGCCCTGCGTTTGACTCTGTGTTTAGCCGGGCGATGCTCCATGTCGTCTAATCGTCAAATCAATAGTGCAACCATAACTTGGAGGGGTCATCCTGTTGAGAAGCAGTGTGAGGTATGGGCTTGGCAGGCGGGGCAGATGCAGTGGTAGATTCTCCCTCGCTCACGTGAATATGATTCACCTCTGTGTGATTAGGGTTTGATGACTGTTGCACATCCTGTTGTGCGTTCTAATGCGCATTCTGGTCAAGTTGTTGCTGTTGTGGCCATGAGTGTGGTGGCTGGTGATTGTGTGCATGTTCACTATGATGGGATAAGAATTGAAGTTTATCGTTTCCTACAAATGGCTGGGGTTTGGTGGCTGTTGCGCATCATGTTGTGCGTTCTATTGCGCATTCTGGTCTGGTTGTTGCTGCTGCAGCAGCGATGAATGTGATGGCCGGTGGTTGTGTGTGTTCACCATCGTGGGATGAGAATCGAAGATTATTGTTTTACATAGATGGCATCAATGTTCGATCCACGAGAATCGTGGTCATGCAAGATTTGTATACTCATGGAGCCTATAGAAGAGAGAGCTACAAGGGGGTGACAAATAATTGTGCACAAGAAAGGGCTCGAAGCCAATGGGGATGAAGTGTATGCACAGTAACAGACAACGAATAGGGATTTGTAGATAAACTCCATCTTTTATTTATAGAAGGGATTTACCTCAAGGTGCAAGAATTTGAATACTAATCAAACTCACGAGGGATGAATTCCTCTAATATTTGAATTATGATTAGTATAATCAGTTGCCTTCTAGAAGTTGTGCTCATGAAGTGTCTCCGAAACACCGCGCGAATTAAATAGAAATAACTGACTTGCAAACTCTCGTTAACACTTACGAACGATGGTCTCTCATTTCTTATTATTATTTGAATAAAAAAAAAGAAAACAGAAATTTTCTCAGTTGAATTACCTCTAACACCAGCGTTGTTAATCAACGTATCAATATGGCCAAATGCGTCCCAGGCCTTCTGCACAGACTTGTCGATGGTGGGACCACCGGCGCAGACATCTAGTTCCACGGCCACCGCACGGAGGCTTCCGGCAGCGGCGTCGGCCTCCGATGGCATCAACTGATTGATTTCGTGGCAGAGGGATTTGAGGCGATCAAGGCGGCGAGCTGCAGCGACGATCCTGCAGCCAGCTTTAGCGAGGTCGAGGCACAAGTCTCGTCCAAGCCCGGAGGAAGCACCGGTCACCAATACAACTTTGTTATCGAGCTTGTGCCATGTCTCCAGCTGCTTCGAGACCTGTGTAGCCATTGATTTTAAAGGTTCGAAGTAGATTTTCGAGTGAGGAGGATTTTACATAGGAAACAAATGGTTGAATTCATGTTTTAAATATTAAAATGAAAACAGCGAAATATACGGTTCATAATTTAATTATTTTAATTGAATTGAATTAGATAATATTCAAGCAACACGACAATACGTACTTAATAAATAAATAAAAAAATCCGGAATAAACATCAAAGGCAATAGAATAAAAAAGGCACTAGCACAATTAAACAGGTAAAATTATCGTCTACGACCCTAAAATAAAATTATTTTGATATTTGGAGAAAAAAGTGTAAAGTGTTTTTAGTAAAATTCATGACATAGAAAGAAAGTAAAATTATCTTCTATTTCAAGAGAAACAATTTTCTATAATTAAAACAAGGGAAAACAATTTTCTATTTTAAGAGTTTGTAAATAATTTAGTTTGTAAATATAACATTTCTTTTAAAATAAAAGCAAAACATTTATTATTTTAAATGATACAATTTTATGTTATTTTAAATGACATAATTTTATGTCATTTTAAATGAAATAATCGTGTTTCAATTGATATTTATTGGGAACTATTTATCTTATGTTGTATAAGATAATTATCTTATGCAATAGAGACAAGATAATGAAGTCCACTATCTTTTTTTTTTTAAGAAAGTGGACCCAAACCTTGTCTTTATTATATAAGATAATTATCTTATGCAACATAAGATAACTATTTCTCATATTTATTAATCTTTACATTTTTTTCTTCTACACAAAATTAAGAGGGGAAAGAATTGTGGAGAAAGAGAATGTGAAAAACTAACATATATGTATCAAAATATGGTCATTTCACTTAAAATGATAGAAAGTTGTGAGCTTTAAAATTACAAATATTTTTTCCTTTAAAATCTAACACCAATGAATGTGTCATAATAAAAATTTCTAGATTAATTATTAATTTGAAATAATTGTGATTGTATGGTTTTATTCAAATACTCTTTAGAGGAAAAATATCGTATATTTTTTTAAATTAAAAATTCTATTAAACTTGTAATATTTAAGGTAAACTATAAAATTTTGAAAAAAAAAAACAATTCTTTTCTAAGAAGAAAAAATACGCAAATTAACCACTAAATAATAAAAATTTTGAATTATGATTTATTTGTTTTAGTCCTTATATGAGTTTTTTAAATTTAAAATTCATACTCCTCTAATAAATAAGTATGATATATTAAAATGATTTATAATTTTTAAAAAGAGCTAGCTAATATTAAAAATATTTTAAAAAAATCTTGTATTTTGGGCCAATAAGTTGACCTAGGATCGAACAATCAACTTTTCATTATCAGAATGGTCAAAAATCTCATCACCTTGGTTGAATCTTACCATAGGTTATATGTTTCATTACATGGGGGCTAAATTTTACAACTAGGCTAAAGTTGATGTCCTAATGGGTTACATCTAGGGGTGATAAAAAGGCCAGGGACCTTAGGCCCGACCTATTTAAGCCTGGCCCGGCCCGTCTTATTTCATTATTGGGCTCAAACTTGAACTAACATAAAAGCCTTTTTATTTAAGAGGCCTCAGGCGGCCTCCATGGAGAAGCCCGGCCTTTGGGCCTAGGAGGCTGGCCCGTCGTTCCATTAATTTTTTTTATGAATCATTTCAACGTGACAACAAACAACGACACAACACAACGTCCCTCACTCCCTCTATTTCAACTTTCCTCTTTGGCCTCTGTTCTCTCTCTCCTCATTCCTCAACCAAGTTCTCCCAAATCGATCCCCAACAAACGCAGATCTGCAAAGCCACGCCGGAAACTCTTGGTCGGACTTCCTTCCCGCTGGCTTGTGAGGAAGGAGGCAGAGAACTGTTGTGACCTTCTTAGACTTCCTTCAAGGTATAGCTTACTCTAAGTTCTGAATATTCTGATTACTCCTCCTGACCTTCTTAGACTTCACTCTCTCACCATTGTTAATTTGATTTTGCATTCGTTATTAGGCTTTTTATTTCGATTATTTTCTAGCCCTCCATCGCAGCGTCCCTTCTAAGGTATCATCGTTCATATCAGTTATGGAGTTTCTTGGTTAGGTTAGTTAATTAAATAATTGACTCATTGGATTAATGTCAAGATGCATTAATGTCAAATTAAGAGACCACGTTGTCGAGTCGTCGACCATCCCTTCTCTGTCACTATTAACCACCGAGACCGACACCCATTAAAATCAATGATATATATGCCAAGGTATCCTCCTCTCTTGCGTATGAATAGCCGGAGACATCATAACAAAAGGTTGATTGTCTTTTTACTTGGAGCCAGTTGGTCAAAATGAGTTGGCTTGTTGGGTCATTATTTAGGGAAAATAGTGCGTAGGAGAGCGAGATGCATGAACTGAATCCCTGTGAACTTTGGAACTTATAGAAACACTGCATGATTTGTTAGAGAAGCCAAAATGCATGATTTGTTGCTCTTATTCAAAATTTATTACCTTTAACTCCACTTATATTTCATATCAAATAAACAATTCATCTACAAGTGGGTTCATTTGCATTATAGTTGAGAGAGATCACCTCTCTAATTGAGTTGGGAATCTTTTTTAACATCTGTTTATTAATACCCTTTGGCTAATTTGCAAGTAGATTCAGCTGCAAATTTTAAACCTGAAAAGGTTGAAGACATTTGGAACCTCAGAGGGATATTAAACACTTCATGGCATCGGGTACTTTTTAACTTGATTATAGTCCATTGTGAACTTTCTAAATTTTTTCGTGTATTATATTATATTATTTGGTTAAGTTCTGTTATGTGAACTATTATATTATATTATTTGGAACCACATGCGTAAACTTTTTAACTTGATAATACTCTTGTCCTTGAACTTTATAAACAAAGAGGTTAAGTTATGTGAACTATTATATTATATTTATTATATAATGAATGGTTTCCATGTATTGATCATTATTATTTAGTTCATTTCAAGAAAGCTTATGCGTGTGAATGTATACATATAACAAGCTAGACACCCTTGTATGCAGTGGAGTTTTGTAGCTTCGGATTGCTATTTTTTTATTTTTTATTTTAATGATAAATGTAGCAACCAATAAATTACTGATCATATTTTTTTTATTGCTATGTTTTGTAGCACATGCAGTTAATAATGTTGATGTTCAAGGACAATAACCACCAACACAAGATGTAGATGCAAACACCACAAACAAAAGGCATAAAACATCAAAGGTGTGGGATGATTTTCATGAGGTGGACATCCTCAATGTTGGGCCCAAGGCAGTATGCAACCATTGTAAAGCCAGATTTGCACGTGGTGGACCAGGAGCAAGCATAAGCCATCTAAAGAGGCATTTAACAAGTTGCTTGAAAAAAAAATGTCAGAACTAGGGTGGAAGGATCTTCCTCTTCTACTCCCTCAACTGAAGTTTCACAAGATTCTGAATCTGGGTTTGCTCAACTCATGAGCATGATACGTGCAAGGGAATCTACTTATTCAGTTAAGTCAGAGCTGAAGTGTTATTTGAAGAGAGTGTTTATATAAGTGAGGATAATTCTCATCTTTCATTTGATGCCTTGGAATGGTGGAAGAACAATAGCATGAAGTATAAGATTTTATCAAAGATGGCAAAAGATATATTAGCAATACCAGTCTCGACAGTTGCATCTGAATCAACATTTAGTGTTGGAGGAAGAGTCATTGATGCTTATCGGGCAAGTTTGACAGAAAATATAGTTCAAGCATTAATTTGCAGTGCAGATTGGTTACGTAATAAGTATGGCATAAAGAAAAAGCAGAAGGTATTAATTTGCTTAATTTAAATTGTTTTATATCTTATGATATTATAATTGAATGTCAAAAATAATCTGACTTGTTTTTTGTTTTTTATGTAGGAGGAGGCAACATCGCAATATGTTAAATTGTTGATATAAGTATATTAAATTGTTTACTCAGAATTTGTAGTTTTTTGTTCTTTTGGATATGCAGAATTTGGTACTACTTTAGTTTATTGGTTAAGTAGGCTTTTTGAATGATTTTGTTCTATATTATGTTGTTTGGATATACATTGAATTTATGAGTCTTTGTGGAATTATTAGTGCTGCTGATCGTATATTCTATTTGGATATACATTGAATTTATGAATTTTTGTGAAATTTTGTTCTCTTTTTTTTATTTGTTAACAGGCTTAACACAGGCTTTTATTTTTTGTAAATAAATCAGGCCACAGGCCAATATTATATTCGTAACAGGTAACAGGTTAAGGCCAGTCTGACACGTTTAAATACAGGCTTGGCCCGTTAAGATCAAAGCTCGGCTCGGCTCGGCTCGGCCCGTTAACACCCCTAGTTACATCTGCATAGGTCAAATGCCTCGCCTCATGTGTAATTACACGGGTAAAATCTTCATGTATGCATCTAATGTTCAATGCTTCATCCTCTTTGTTAGGATGTGAATTTCATACTCAAAAGATGGGTAAATTGAGTATTGCAATTTTTTTGCAAAAGTCCTATTCTTATTTCTAAATTAACATTTCAAACAAATTTTGATATATGAAAAGATCATCAAAATATTCAAACAATCCATGATATACAATTTAAACACTTAAACAATCTACACTAACGCATGCAAGATTTCCAAAAAGTAAATAAAGAGTTACTAAATAGATTCAAAGGTATAAAAGAAGGAAGACATTATTTATTTTGGTTCGATCACAATCATTTGTGTCTTGCATCCAGACTAAAGTCTTCATCTCTTTCTTTTGATGATGACAAACTTAGAATTAAGAAAATGTTGGTTGACTGACTTTTGCCCCCATTTTTAAAAATATTACCACTTTATCCCTATTTTTAAACTAATTAATAATTTTAACCTTTTGTCAAAGCTATACATCAATCTGCCATGGTTCGATAGTTGACCGACCCAGTAACTCGAGTAACTGTTGGCCAGAAGCTTATAACAGTGGGTTTAAACCATATTTTTGTCATACACATTTTTTATCCCAAATTCCCCCTCATTTTTTATCTTTTTTCCAATCCAACAAATTGACTTTCATCCCTAAAAACATTTACCCTTATCAAATCATAATCAATACACTTAGATATTCCAATTTTTGAGCAAAAAATTGATCTCATCTCCAAACCCTAATCCTAATCTGTGGCAAAGATAAGCTCAAGTTCCAAAACATATGTTGTAATTGTCTACGACAATGGTAGGCAATTTGAAGGTCCCAATAGTGCAATTATTTAAGGTCAAATGAAAACAATGCAAATCAAACATGACACTACATAGAACAATCTGAAACAAAAATTGGGGCTCCAAGGCAACCAATGCATTTTTCACTTGAATTACAGGTATGAGACTAGAAATGGGTACCACGTTTGTAACGATGTCAATTATGATGAAGATGTGGATTGTATAATCGATGCATATGTAAACTGGAAAGAGAAATTTTTTATTAAGATATATATTGAAGTTGATTCTGGTTAGTCGTCTTCTTTACCCACTCAGTCAATGCATATGAGCACTAAACGACATTATGGTCATGAAGATAGATTTGTCCGCTCATTTGCACCTCCACCAATGTTAAGTTAGATAACATCAGGGAATAGGAAGACAATGAGAAAGAGGATATGGACAGTGATGAGAAGGGAGAACATAAAAGTGTAATTCCACTTATTGATTCATCAGATATTGACGTGGGGGTGATTTTCATTCTGGTCCGAGCCCAATAAACATGTCTTCGTCAAGTCTTCATGTTGACCCAGTTAATAGTGGTTAGTTAATGAATTCCTCTTTTTATTTAACATGTCATATTTATGTAGTTAATGTATGTGATAAAAATGTCGTGGTTTTATGTATAATGCCAGATAGTGTGCCATTCTGGAATGATAGCCAATATTATCAGGGTTGGCAAACCAAGCCAACCCAGCTCGACCCAGCCTAACCCGTTTGCAACTCGAAAAAAAAAAGTCGAAATAGGGTTAGCTCGGGAAAAAAAATGAGCCAGAAAACTCAACCCAACCTGACCCAAGAGTTAGGGTTGGCTCAAAAAAATGGAAAAAAAAATAGCCTTTGTCACACTCATCCAGTACATGTAGTGGGGAAGCTAAGGAAATAATTTTCATTTGATATAAGATATTTATTGGAAAGGAAAACACTTGATATAAGATATTTAGTTGTTGAGTATAATTAAATTAACAAGTTACAAGACCAAAACAACAACTTGAAATACATCACAAAAGGTCCAATACCTCATTAAAAGTTTCCAAACAAAATTTTCCAAGTCCAACAAGATATAATGCTAAACCAAATCAAGTTTCATGAGCATTAGATAATGCTAAACATAATGTTATTCCAAGTCCCCTTATTATTCCAAGTCCCGAGTTGTCTCGGTTTTTTTTTAGCTGACTAGGGTTGGGCTGGCTCGGGTTGTCAGCTCATTTTTATCAATCCAACCCGACTCATTTAATGCGGGTTACGAGCCAACCCGACGGGTTGGTTCATTTTTTGTTATCCCTAAATATTATACATACATTTATTCCACGAGATTTTTTGACCCAAATGAGTTTCTATAGTCATGTACTAGTATATTTAGACTTGGGGAGGGCCAACGTGGGTTCAAAACACTTATTAGCAGTACCTATCCAATTAAAGATACAAAACCAAGGTTTTGACTTGGTTTCAACACGCCAAAGTATCATTTTTGTGGAACCAATGCACTCTACGTAAAGAATATAAAGGTTCAACGATTTTGATGATAACAAACAAGCATGGAAAGAAAGCTTCAAAGTGCAACCATAAAAAAGAAGTCTAAACAAGATCAAGACTCAAGCTTCAAGAGAAGTCTCTAAGTCCAAGCAATCTCCAAGTAACATAGTATAGGACTTAGGATTATTTGAAAGGGTAATTGATCCCTTACGTGAACGAAGCTCAAAGTATTTTTCAAATACATGCATAAAATCATCGTTTGACATTCAGATACATTCCTATCATGAAAATATAGTTTTCAATGTTTATAAAATGTTTAAACAATATTTTAAACTGATTTGAATCAAGAGAAAATCATTTTAGGGTGAAATCCAACCTTTCAACAGGTTGGTAATCGATTATCCAAACAATGGTAATTGATTATCCTTCATGGTAATCCATTACCTACTGTGCAGAAGACAAAATAACGGCTATAAAATGGCTAGTTTGCAAAAATGAGTGTGTAAACAGCCATGAGGGCCCTCTATAAATAGATAATATTGTTCCCTTGATGGGACACACTTCTTGGTCATTATTACTCATTTATTATCATTCTATTTGCATTATTCTTGTCTTCTTGATCATAAATTTTCTTTGAGCTTTATTCTTGTGAGAGTGTCAACAACCATTGTTCTTCAACTTGTGTTATTTGTACTTTGAGAGTACTTAGCCATTGTTAAACACCTTCCTTTGATTTCTTGAATAGTTAGGGGAGTGAACCCTATACACTTGAGAGGTCACCAAATTCCTAAGAAAATTTGGAGTGAAAATTTGTAAGGCATCAAGAGCCCGAAGTCTTGAAAGGTTGTAGTGGCTTGTCAAGTACCCTCAAGCTTGATAGTTAGTGAAAAGATTTTATCGAGCGGTTTCAGTCTGGACGTAGGTCACGGTGGTGGTGACCGAATCAGGATACATCTAGTTTGCAATTTCTCTAACCTTAACCTCTTTATTTAAGTATTGAAATTGCATTTTAGATTGTCTTTTTATATTCGCTTGCTTACTTTGTTCATCACTACACTTGCTCTCACACTTAAATTTTTTCTTTATTAAATCACTTTATTGAAGAAATAGTCTTTAAAATAACAAAGGAGGCACTTTGCGAAATTTTTTTGTAAAACTCAATTCACCTCCCTCTTGAGTATTGAAGCCACATGTCCAACAATTTTGGTTCAATAATGATGCAGACATGATTATATTGCCATGTACTCCTATATTTGGACTTGGGATGGCCCTTTCTGGGTCCATAAAAATTGTGGATGGTCCTCATCCATTTCATACCAAGTTTAATGGATAGTTCCAATATATCAATTTGAAAACTTGATTCTTGATTGATACAAAAATCCATGTAATGTCATATGAATCTATTTTCATATTTAAGTTGATTATTTGTGCGTCTAAATTGTAATAGTAGCATCAACATCCATTTTAAGCTTAATTTCATAAAATAATGCATAAATTAAAAGAAGAAACACAAATGAACATTAAGCCGCATATCAATATTGTAACGCTCGGCCGCTTGCAAGATGAATGATTGTCCCCTCAAACTAACACGAGACTTTTCAGGGTATTTTACCCTCACTCACATTTTTTGGGAAAACTTCACTGGAGGACACCCATCCCAGAATTGCTCCAAGTTAAGCACGCTTAACTATGGAGTTCTTAAGTTATGTGCTACCGAAAAGTAGATGCATCTTGTTAGTATAGGTAGTATCAATTAATTCTTATAAGTTATCCTCAACTGTACAGTCTCATACCTGCACAGTCTTTGGAATCCTTCTCTTTTGGGTGTTGATTTGATTAATTCATTTACCCCATAGCTGCAAGCCTGACAGAAGTCGTTTATTGTTTGTACCTCATCTCTTTTGCACCGACAAATATCATTAATAAAAGTTCAATACATAGTTATTAGTACATACCATACAATTTAAATATCAAAATACATTAGCATCGTAAAACAACACTACAAACATAAAACAACCCTAAACTACTCTAAGTGTGTCTCCTCGTCGTCGTCATCTTCAGCTGCAGCAAATTTATCCACGGTCGCAAGAGCCTGTCTGTATCCAACCTCCAAGTTACCACTCCTATCTTCTAAACTAGTAAAGTGATGTTGCATACAATCAACGTTGTAGATCGTCGAGTGCAATATAAGAAATTTAAAATATATTTATTAAAATGTATTTGATAAAGCAATTTTGATTCAAGAATGAAATACACATTGCACAGAGTCCAAGATAGCATGGCTATACAAAAACTCTTACAATACGAACGACACTTAAGGATGATGAATCATACAATCAACATTGTCGACTACTGCATGGAATATTAGAAATTTAAAACATATTTGTTAAAACGTATTTGATAAAGCAAATCTGCTTCAAAAATTATATCCACAATTCACAGAGTCTAAAATAGTGTGACTATATGAAGACTCTTTCGATACATCAAACTAGTAGTCAAACCAAACCCATCACCTCCTAATCACGCAACCTACAACCATAAATCAGTACGACAGATATATCATCAACCACTCGATACATCCTTTATTAAATATGGGGAAAAAAAGTAACACATTTACACTACCTCTATTTTTAAAATTATTTTCTTTCATATATTTTTTTTTTTTATAAAGGAATATCTATCCCATTGCAGCAAAAATATACTCCTTGGTGACACTCATAACCGTCGCCATCTTGTCCGATAAAGTTAGAAGTGGAAAAACTTACGCGACCACAGCCACTCTAGTCTCAAGCCCGCTCCCATGATGGCCGTGACTAAACTCCAGTCCAGTCAAATGCAGAGAAAAAAAAACCAATGATTGATACAAGTAATTTATATAACAATAATTATTAATATTCTTCAATATTTCAATGAACAACTATAAATTTACATTCTTTTTTTTTAAAGTGCAACCTTCACTTTAAAAGGAGTCTGTCTAATTGGAGACGAACACTACAAGAAAAGGTGTATTTTGCGGCGGTTGAATTACCATTTTGAGGCGGTTATAACCGTCGCTAAAGTCGTAGTGCGACGGTTAACCAACTGTTGCTAATTAAATAGTCGGGAAGGAATCAACGACGGTTGAAATTCCTCCGATGTATAGCGTGTTCAAATCATACTAAGTCCCATTGTTCATTAAAACATCCACCATTATGAAATTTATATTCTACGACGGTTGGTAACCGCCTTAAATGTCACATTCTGCGTCAGTTTGTAACCGTCTTTAAACTGAGTCGGTTCAAACCGTCGACAAATTAAATATTCTGCGTCAGTTTATAACCATCGCTAAAAGCCGTCGTCAAACGGTTGGCCACTGACCGTCGCGAATCATCGGTCGCAAAACACACATTTTCTTGTAGTCGAATTTGCATGAATCGACTGGGAAAACTTGCTGACCCAACAACGACATTATGGTAGAAACACAGGAAAAATTTAAATAGGAACTTCGATGATGATGTAGGAAGTTATTCCTTTTAGATATATTTTAAGGGATTTACTAGTGTCCTGTAACAATAAACTCGGTCCATCATGTCACAGACACATCAATTATAAGATCAATTGTTTTTTTAATAAAATAAAAACTGAAACAACAACTTCACACTAATCGAAAGGTCAGCTGGAAGGAAGCTAAAAATCCTATAACATGATACTTGATAATCCCATATTTTAACGGTAGCTAATAGGGGTGTTCATCAACCGATCCAAACCGATTCAAACCGCGAAAACCGAACCGAAAAACCGATAACCGAATAAATCGAAAATCGAAAAATCGGAAACCGAAAGAAAACCGCAAATTATAATTGGATTGGATCGGTTTTCGGATGGGTTGATGAAAATCGATCCAATCCAAACCGATCCAATATATTAATTATCCTCTACCTACTTGTCCTTTCTCCAATCATAGCCCAAAAATTTCTAAACTCAAGACCCATTAACTCATCAACTAAACCAAAAAAAAAAACTTAGTCGTGTCTCATCAACTATAGTATTGTTTAGTGATATTTTTGTATTTCAATTTTTTTTTTTACAAAGCCAATATGTACAAAAGATGTTATTTGTACAATAATCATGAAACTAATTTTAGGATATTCAAAAAACCGAAAACCGATCCAATCTAAACCGAAAAAAATTGGATTGGATCGAATCGGATTTGAAAAAAAATCTAAACCGAAGGGATTGGATCGGATGAATTTTGCTTCCAAAACCGATCCAATCCAGACCGCGAACACCCCTAGTAGCTAACGTATGGAAACAAGAGTCACCCAAATTAAAAGGAAAAGGCTCCTACTAAAAATATTAAAAATTACCATCATATCGAAAATAATAGTATAATGGTAAATAGTATGACACTAATAACATCTTAATAAATAGTTAGTGGGGATGAAAAGCATGGTTTGTAAACTACACGATTCGAAAAAGTAGTGGTCAAATCGAAATCTCAAGAGCAAATATGAAGGCAAGCATAAACTAATACTGATATATCAACCTTTAAATAAACCTAAACATTTCCCAAGTTCGAATTATTATAAAATCAATGCGGAAGCACTATATTTGTTTGTATATAACAACTTACATCCCCACAACTTTATTTACACACTAGAACCAACCATAAGCATATCTCCTAGTTCATGGCATATTTCTGAGTCCAAGAACGGGCAGTACTCTCGTACTTGGCCTTGTCAGTCTTGTACATGTGGGCAATGTCAGGGACCAAAGGGTCATCGGGGTTAGGATCTGTCAGAAGGGAACAAATTGACAGTAGCACCTGCCACAAATTGCAATGTCAATGGAAGTCTGAATACATAAATATCTATGGCAATGGCTGGTAAATTTCACTGCTATAATCAAGTGAGATGGTTAAAACATTCCTGCATTTTCCACTATTTTCTTTCTATGAAAATTCAAAACTCAATAAAAGTTACTTATTATTTTCCTATACTTAGATTTTTATCAAAAAATTTGGGAGGTTACGCAAAGAGACCCGTACAAGGAATAAGTGACAACTATGAAGACTTACCTTGGAAACTGTAAGAGCAGGGCTCCACTGCTCTTTCAGAATGTCAAGACAGATACTTCCATTGCTGTTTATGTTAGGGTGAAATACCTTCGTTCGGAAGGAGACCTACAAAAACACCACATTGTAAATACTTTTCCCAACCCAAACTACCGACATTTTTTCGACCCAAGATCAAAGAAACATGCCTAAGACATACTTCAGGCCTCAAAGAAAAGTTATAACATAATAAAAAGGTCAAAAGTTAAACATTAAAAATTTACAACAAAGCAATATCAGATAGAGGACCATAAATGCTTCACCAAGCTACCATACAAAACTAAAGATGTAAAGGGACTCTTTATCACTTGCACCTACATATTCAAATATCTGGTTTAGTTCATGTCAATGACATGGATGGTGATACGAACCTTGGGAGAACCTCACCTCAAAATATAGCTTGTAAGGTAGGAGAGCCCAAAGTCTATATAAACCCCACATCAAAACCCTATGTTTCAATGTGGGACTCCAAGTCCCATACCTTGCAATTGCATCGTAACAGAGGGTCTTGTTTTGATATTAGTTTCGTAACAAAAGCATTAATTAGAGATCATATCTCAATATTATTCTGACAATGGACAATGGTTGAAATCAATGTCATGGCATGCCACAAACTACAGGAGAATATTTGTCAAAAAACAATTAAAACTGCAAAATCAGCAATTCAATTTTTTTAGAGTCAAATATTTCAGCCAAAATACATATTAATTTCAATTTTCAATACAATATCCCATAAGAAATTGAATAAGATGATCAATCTCTTTTATGCTCATACTGTAACAGAGATAGCAAGAAAGCACTTGAATCCAACACGTTAGCTTAGGCCTAGTTAGTTACCTTTGGAGGCTTAAATGGATAATCTGGTGGGAAGTGAATGGTCACTAGGAATACACCACCAGCATAAGGACTGTCGGCTGGACCCATAATTGTAGCTTGCCAATGAAACATGTCTTCACCAACAGGGCCTGCTCGAGTGTAGAATACATAAGAATCATGATAACCTTCTTATACAAGAGTATGCTTGGCACTTGGTGCAGATATATACCTAAATATAAAATATTATAATACATGCCATACATTTATTATATATCTAACTCATTTTCATTAATTCCTTTTCATTTGTATCACTCTGTATTCATCCCAACCAATCCAAACTCTACTTTATTGTTGCAGTTGGCAACATGAACCAGCAGTCAAAAGTTCCAAACCAATTCAAATCTACATATAGCTTCTGCTATTCTCAACCCAAGGTTTTTTCCATCCCTAATCCTTATGCATTCTGCAACAGTATCCTACTTCACTATTATCGCAACAAATGTTTTCTCTCTTTCTTTCTTTTTTAAAGCTCCATTCACAAATGTTGTCACTAGCCACCCTGCTACCCTCACATTTCCTACTTCATTCACAACAGTATCCTACTTCACTACTACTGTGCTCTCACATTTCCATACCATGCAAGCAAAATGGTGTAAATTTGTACAATCCAAACCCATATAAAACAACTTTCCCTCATTGTATTATATCTCAAATTCAAACAAATCTCAATTTACTCAAAAGAATATTTTTGCATCTCGTCCAGGTATAAAGTAATTCAACCATAAATAAACCACTTTCAATCAGTTAAGAGAAGTTAAACCGTATGGAACGTTTAATAATCACAAATCATTTTCCAAATGACAAATAAATGGAAGAGATAACAGATTACGAGGAGTCAAAAAAGAATATATGAGAAATGCATTTGCACACATGAGAAAGTAGAATGATCTAGAAGTACCAACAGAACATATTAATTTTTCAGCTTGCACATATATGTACACAACTACACATGGTTCTGAGCTATTGAAACAACAGGACTATATGTGTGTGTGTGTGTGTGTGTGTGTGTGTGTGTGTGAGAGAGCGAGAGAGAGAGAGAGAGAGAGAGAGAGAGAATGAATGTCAGTGCAAACAAACCAGCGCTGCAGGAAACAGGAGGGTCCTTCTGTAGGTCCTTCAACTCCTTAGTAATGCGTTTTGAAGCCATCACAAGTGTACTACTAAGTTTAAGACACAAATTTCAGGTTTCTCACTTCTAAAATTTAACCCAAAAAAAAAAAGAAGAGTGTGAAATGATAATTATAAGTTCTAAAGCAAAAAATTATTTCTAAAACAGCTTATCAAATTTACACAAAATAGCATACTAGCCGATTCAAAGTGAGAGTACACATGATAATCTAGAATGCTTTCTAGATTTTTACCAAAAAAATAAAATAAAATAAAAGGACCCCCTAGAAAAATAGCTCACTGAAACCCAGAATTTGAACCATACGACCAACTATTAAAATTTTGAAATAAGAAAAATAAACAAACAAAAAAAACTGCCAGTGCCGTTGCAAAAAGCAAGAAAGTAAAAATAATCAACAAACAAAAGGGTAAAAGGAAAAAGTGAGATTAAACCCGAAAAACCCCAAAAATAAAATTCCTCTTTCATCAAAATCCGATCACACAAAACAAACCCCCAAAGCAAGTGTTGCAAAGGGAGGAACAGACAGCACGGAATGATCAAAAGAAAGAGAATCGAAAAGGGCACAGAGATTCGTAGCGAACCTTGCAGTCCTAGGGTTTGAAATCAGAGAGAGCAAAGCGTTGAAGGGTGGAAGGGTGACACTGATGAGACTGTTTTCATATATAATGTTGTGCGTCCATTGGATACCTACTATGCAGGTTGGTAAAACAAATTTTTCAATTTTTTTTTTTATATTTTTAATTTATTATATTTATAAAAATAGGTTATATTTGTTTTATTTTATTTTTTTCATAGGAATTTCTTGTAACTGTTTTGTTATGCTAGCATTAAATTTATTCTTTTTTATTTCTTTTAGAATGATAATTCAATGATTTTGTTGTTGGTTTCAGATGAACTCAAAAAGGCTGAATTGAATTTTATAAAAATAATTCGTTAATTAAAAATTAACTCAAAGTAACAAATCAAGATAAGGATAGAGAGAAATCAACACAATAGCTTTTACGTGGAAAATTCAAAAGGGAAGAAAAATCACGGACCCTAAAATCGAATACTGAAATTCGACGGGCAACTTGCGTACAAACTACAAAGAGTTCTCTAGTATTTTAGTTTCCTAGTCTACCTCTTACACAAATTTTCAACTGTTATCCTAGTTTCTCAGTACGAAATCATAACCCTTTAGAATTCTGAAACCCTATCACACAAGGGTTCTCAAGTTACTCTCAATTTTTAAGAAAAAGAGATATGCTGGTATCCAGTTTCCCAGCACAAGAACTGATATCCAAGTTTTCCAGTACAGACCTTCAAAAAGGTCAAAAAGAAAATTACAATTAAAGTATTTACAAAATTACAATTAAAGTATTTACCTCAATGTTTCTTTTTCTCAAGCATATAGGTAATATGAATGCCTATGGAGAAATATTCACTTTGCCAAAGGATGAATGTATGAATGTTCCTGAGAAAGCTCTTCAATTAATGCACAAGAAAGAATCTTAATCTTGAAAATCTAATTCTCGCTTCTCTCTTTTGTATTTTCTCCACTATGAAATAATATGCAATGAACCATATTTATAATAATAACATCTTAATCTATTATGCAATGCAATCTTAATTAAATCTTTAACAAAGAATATTTTATTTCTCTTACATGAAATCTAAAAATATAAAATCTATCATAATCTTTACTTGATTCTACGCTTTTCTATTTCTTCATGATATCTTCCATATCTTCTCTAATCTTCAACTATCTTGAATACTAATTCAAATTAGAATAAATATTATTCTGAAATTTCAAACAATCAGCTCATTAGTAATTTCAAGAATATAAAATATTGTTAACAAAATTAACATTAAATTGATTGTAATCATCAAAATATATTTTAAATCAATTAAACAATTGAAGTATAACAAATATTCAACATTTATGACCTATTCAAGTTTAATTTTGAGATTATATATTGGATGAAATGAAATGAAAATAATAGGTTCATCTTAAGGCTCTGACATAACATGTTTATGGAATAATAAAAGTTTCACTCGCCTATTTTGGATTTCTATTATAATAAGGAAAAACTAATATTATGTTATAGGAAAAATCTTAGGTCATGTCTGATGAACCCTTAGTTCATCAGGTTTTTGAGCATGAATTAGTATAAATTTGTGTGATTAAATGATGGAAAAAGAGGTTAATATCTTAGAATTTCCTCAACTACAAGTTCAAGAAGCTTTATTGAGAATTTGTATTGTTCTTGTAGGAAAAGCAAGCTAAAAAGGCAACTGGAGAAGGAAGGAGATTTTGAAGAGGAGAAAAATGCCTAAGTGTTGAGCGCTAAAACGTCCACACAGAACGTTTTAGCTCCCTGCTGCAGAAAGATGCCAAAACTTGCTGGTGTTGAGCGCTAAAACGTCCACACAGAACGTTTTAGCGCGCTTCTGCATTCCGAGGATGAAAAGTTGCTGGTCTTGGGCGCTAAAACTTCCTTCAACGAACGTTTTAGCGCCCTGATGTTTGAAAAAGCCTCTGGTCTCCAACGCTAAAACGTCCAAACCAAGTGTTTTAGCGGTGGAGTCAGTTGAGGACAGTTGAGCATTCACAAGGCATGGACGCTAAAACGGCCATTCATGAACGTTTTAGCGTTCAAGTTAGTTGAGAGCAGTTGGGCATCCGTCAAGCATGGACGCTAAAACGCTCATTCTGAACGTTTTAGCGCTCATATTAAATTTCAGTTGTAATTTGTAAACTATAAAAGGACAAGGGGCCTTCATACTCTGAGACACAATCCAATCCTATCATATCCCATTCTGACTTTTCTCATCACACTAGAAGAAGGGAGATCAGATCAGGTCTTTCATAGATCTGATCTGACTCCTCATTTTCTCTGAATTTCCAAATTCTTAGGATTAGTTCTTGTAATAGTTAGTATTTCCTATGTAATTGCACTTGGAGATTGAAGACTCAACTATCATGTCAATGGAGTTTGATCTTTCTTCTCTTGTTTGTATTTCAATTATGTCTTAGGAGAGTCCTTTGTAGTCTGATTCTATGGAACTCAAGTTTGAATGTATGAATGGTTAATTAGATGTTTTGTTTATCTATTATATGATTGTATGAAGTTGTCTTGATTAATTCTTCATGTTGAGAAATAGTGTAGAACAGACATGTTTACATTGTTTCTCTATTTTTGACAACTTCATCATCAGTGTTCTAGTAGTCAAGGGATTGATGCTAGGATTCTAATGTGATCTTAAGACCTTAGTAATTAATGCATGTATTAAGAAAGGAATCACCAAGGGATTGGGGTTTCTGATTAATGTGTCTATCAGGGTAGTAAGGGATTACATCTTGAGATGATAAGAAAAAGGTTGATCAACATCACATAGTAGATAATTCATAATGGAAATTGGTTCATCTATAAATTCATGTTTGAGGGAAAATGACATCTGACTATTTGTTTATATTATAATTTACATTTTATTTAATTATCAAGTTTAATTCAATTCAGTGTAGTTTCTGGTGACAAGAAATCTATGCAATCTATGAACTTTTGTTTGATTCAACTCAAGTACATATGGTTAGTCAGTGCTTGACACAAATCCTCGTGGGAACGATCTTTACTCATCATTTTATTACTTGTACGACTAGTACACTTGCTAAACGTCCAACAATGTCATAGAGATAACCAATTGTGGGGTCCACATTTTTAAAATAAAAAAAAAGTAAAAGAATTGATAGGTCCACTTTTATGTTTGTGTAGAAAAATTACTTGTGTTATGTAAAAGGAGGAAAACATTACTCATTATAATAAGGCCTTTCAATGAAGTTAAGAAGCTGAAACTTTTGATTTTTAAATTGACAGAAAATAGAATCAAACTATCATATTTATAAAATTAATATAATAATATTAATCTGTAATTAATAAATTATTGAAGTATTATATTTTTTTAGTTATATATCTAAATAAAAAATAAAAAAAGTCAATACAGTAGGCTAAATAATTTTTTTTAAAGACATTTAAAGAGATCTTAAAATTTATTTTACAGGTACATGGAGCTTTCGGATAAAACTTGAGATACATTGAGGGCATCTTTAATACACAGTATAAGATAAAACTTGATAGTATAATACCTGATGGTATAAGGTCTGATTGTATAAAACCTGATTAAATTTTAATAATATCCAGCATTTGGCATGATATTGTATAAGATAATATCATCCAATATTTGGTCATGCACTATTTAATACTAGATAGGATAAAAAAAAAGTTTAAATTTTTTTTTAAAAAATGCCTTTTAATAATATATCAGATGATATTAATTTTTATAGAAATCTATTGATCAGTATGTCCAAAAAATATATTAACTTATAAAAATAAAAATCTCTAATGTTTTAAAAAATTATATATTGAAAAATTATATTTTATTTAATATATTAATATTAAAATAATATATTAATCCTTGAGAATTGCATTGGTTAATACATCAATCACTTATCAGACTTAATTCTACCTTTCTAGGCCTGATTAAGTTATACATCATTTTAATGTATAAAGGGATATTGTTGTATAAATTTATACTATACGATGATCACACCAAACAACTAAAAATATCATAACGTATAATATAAGCTTATACTATCAGACCTTATACATCACACCAAACAGGCCTGAGTGTTATGAGATTGAAAATTGATTAATTTTTTATTACCAAACACCACACAATTAATGGTAACACATTAATTTCAGGTTTGTTAATTCATTAGTGAGGTCTTTAAACCGCAAACCCAACTCGCGAAGTAGAAAAAGCAATAGTTTGAATGCTCTTAATTTAGCCATTTTAAGAGCCTGTTTGGATCCTCTTTTCTTTAAACTAGAATTTACTTATGTTAAAGTAAAAAAAAAAAAAAAAAAAATTTAAAAAAAACTAAAAACTGTTTGGTAATTACATAAAAAATCTAGTTTAAAAGTTACTTAAAAAATACATATTTAATGAAAATTATCTCCCTCTATCTTTATAACTCTTCGTTAAAAAAAAATACACAATTCAAGAAAAATAGATAAGAGCTTAAAAAATACTACTCAAGCTTTTTGCTTTTAGCTTCTTCTTTTTTATTATAAAAAAAGAATTTTTCATTATAAAATTTTTTCTCAAAATCTGTTTGGCCTAACTTATAAATAGCTTCTAACTTAAAATAAAAAAAAATATCCAAACAGTCACTAAGAAAAATGCACTCTTGATTCTTGTCCTTACCATCCATTTCTATTGATAATTGGGATAACTTGGACTCAAATTATTATTCCGATTACAAGAAAGGTGCAATCATGGAATATATTTTCTGTGCAACTCCCTTACCGAGGAGGGGGGAAATAATCATAAAGATAATGAAAATAGATTACTTTTTGTCATATTTGGTAAAAGAATTTACCCAATACTCTACAAGTTCCTGGGAGTATTCGACCATGAAACGGGAAACTGCTTCTAGCTTCACCATTCAATAGGGCAGCTAAACCGTGATGGATCCAGAGGAAGCCAAGAACAACAACGCTAATGAGCCCCTATCAACACTCCAATGGATCCAGAGGAAGAACCTTGCAGATTTGTTTACACCATCTCTGATGGTTTACTCCGAGCAAGAATAAAGGGTCAATTGTTGGGCAATTCTTTGGGGTGATACTAGAGCAGAATTTTACGTGTATAAAGCCTAGTTTTGGGTCAAGACTAGTGCACACAAACTAGTGTCCAGCAACAAAATTTGTGGTCACTTCGGCTTTGCTGTGACACAAGTACATACATTTAATGAATTAATGAAATTTTGACCGTAGGTAACATCATAATTTACAACAAAGATACCCTCTCATTTTCCCCTCAACATTAATTTCTTCATAAATATTTCGGGCATGCATCGCATATTAATTTTAGCATACGAGGTGTAGATGTCAGCAAGTTTCATCCCCATTGTAAACAGGTATCTGCCAAACTTTAGTGTTCTTCTTCGGGTCATCAGTGAGGCTAAGATCTGTCTCACCTTCCTTGAATGTTCTAATGAACGTTTTAGCACCCATCATTAAAAACCTCTCGATCATGAATAATTGGTAATTGTTCTCAATCAATGGATCCAAGATATGGCTATAGTTTGACGAATATGCCAATCTGTACCTGCAAATTTAAAGCACCAAGAGCATAAAATTTAGTATTTGATGCCAGCCAAAATTTTCCTCCAAAAACTACAGCATATCAGAATCATTTTTGGTTAATTTCTGTAAATAATATGGACTAGGTATGATCAAGTGTCCATAAGCTGCCAAATCTAATAACCAGCAACAAATAATCCACCAAAAAAGAGACGAAGGACATGATAAAATAAAACATGAATAAGAGAAAAAATTATAACTTGAGTGCAAAGTGTTGCATATCAGGTTCAGTGAGATGTAATGCATGTTACAATTTTTGCATTTTATAAATAAATCCAGATGTTAACTTAAAAATGACAACAAACAAATAAGTCCAGCAGAACCTACATGACAAGCCTGTGAATATTGTTTCCGTGACCATTGCATAAACAAGATCAGCTTCTTGTAGCATTAACACATATTTTAATTACGGTCTAACTATTGAGGGGCATGATTTGTGCATCCTGACATGAACCAATTACCACAAAAGTTAAAACTGTTAGGTGAAAACACAAACAATATTAAATCTAATATGACCTTTCATGCAAGAGCCCTTTGGAGTTGAAGTATAGACAATACATACATCCATCCTCCCTTATGCTGAACTTTAACTTCTATTTATAAAAATGGGAGCATTAAGAATTGAATTCTAGACTACATAATTATAGAGGCTTCAATACCAATCATGATTCAATTATCTCAAAGACTTATATTGTTGGGTGAAGACATGAATGATTTTATATTACATTTTTAACTCAGCTAAAGAAAATCATTACATACAAGTTTTACCCCCCAATGAGAACATGAGAATGGTTACCTGACGGAAAGCGATGAAAAAAACCCTGGAATCCTTTCATTTGAAGCAATAAACAAGGTTCTTCCAGGAGGGACCCACTTTGCTATTCTACATATCATAAACTCAGGCCGAGTATCCCTATCTAGGTGAGGGTGGAGACTCCTTACTACGCCAAATCTATCCTTCCTGGTCTTTATTTTATCCCCACGACGAACATGGATGGCATCATAATCCCCAAGTAGTGTTTTGATCTGTGAACAAGAGTCTGATCAGCAATTGAAATGTTTAACAAAGAGAGATTCTGATATTGTTCTATTGTAATGCCCATTTTCTCCCTATATTCTGTTTTTGTTGTTACCCTCCGTTGTTGTTGTTATTTGATGGTCTTGGGCCTTCTTCCCTTCCTTCTTATATTTTAGACAAACTTCAAGGGCCCATCACAAGAATTACAATGTTCTGAATTTTGAAGGATATTTTGAGAAAAAAATCATCTATTTTTTGAATCATGAACCAACTAAACTAAAAGCTTAAACAGATGTGTAAAGACACTTTGGCTTAAAGCATGGAGAATGCATAAATCCGCCTACCTTGTGCTGAAATTTAACTTTTTAGTAGAAGAACGGGGAAAAAGGATTGACTCTGGACAATTTGACCATCAAGGCTCTAATATCATGTTACGAACCAACTATCCCAAAAGTTTAAGATGTTAGGTAAAGACACATTAATGATTTTATATTATATCTCTAACAGGTTGCATAAAAAAATTTCATCAATCCTGTCCAAAATTTATATCCTTATGATAAGTGACAGTATCTTAAGGACCAATGCAAGATTACATAGTGAGGAGGGCAATTACATTCATTCAAAGCATATGACAGCAAATGCTTATATATGGTAAATTAAAGGTAAGTTAGGTTCCTCATAGAAGAGTACATGGTATACAAAACAGTCAACTGCTTATCCTTCAGTTCATTTTGTATGAAGCAAGAAGTCACAATATCAGAGTAATCACCATCTTAACCCTCCCTCGTTGATTTGTTTATGGCTTCTCAGTGGTGCTCTACTCATGGCCATTTCAAAGGAATTACCATTACTGTACTGGTACAAAGAGACACAGGGCCGCCTTCTTGTAGTGTTGATTCTTTTTTTTTCATTGTTATTCTTTTCTTCTTGTTTTGGAGGATGTCTTGTCCTCCCCATAGTTGTACTTCACTACTTTTGTCCCAATAATTTCTTTTTCGATCCACAAAAATGTAAATAAATTTAGTTTGATTTCTGTTACAGCTCTGGATTTCTCGGAAACAATTTTTCTTTGAGGAGCATATAAATGAAAAATCATAAAATGCACACACAAAAGCCAGACAATAGCATGTCAACCATAAGCAGTTTCCAAATGAAAACTATAGGCCATTCACATAAAGTACACACCAAATTTTTGAAGCAGATATTACTAAAAAAAAAAAAAAAAGTCTTGGAGCAGAAACAGCTTCGACACATGGTTACCCGTGCCAATGGTATGGTATCGTATATCTTATGCCAGTAAGAGAGTGCATTCAAATTAACAATCCAAGCACACAGCCATACCCATAAATTAAGGTTGAATTACCTGCAGACTTATAAAAGTTCGTGGCAGTATTGCTGGAGCTATTAGAGCCTGCAGCTCTTCACTAATATTTATATCTTGAACTGTTATCTGCCAGGTATAAATGCATGTTTCATCTGATGTTACAAATGCATAGTACCAACTAAAGAAGGAAATGCCATTTTAATACCTAAATATCAATAGTAAATGATAGTCTTTTGTCAATCTTAGGTAATGTAGAAGTGAAATTTGAGGGGTATCACCATCATAAATAATAAATCAGATTATATTAACCCTAGAATTTACATTAAGCTCTAACACATTCTTGAGGAATAAAAACTTATGCATAAACATAATAAAATCTAGAAATGGGGCATGGAAAAAATGTTATGACATAACAAATACCATAAATGAAATTAAATGTGGATGATCACTCTAACCATTTACTAACAAGAAAAGAGAAATTATATGTATCGTGTACTAAACAAGCCTGGCATTCTTTTAGATAGATTTGTGTCTCAACTATATTAGAAAGCATGTTCATCTAAAGCAAAATGATTACCTCTTCAAACTTGAGATAGATATTGCGTACAGATACAACAGAAAACTTGGCTGATACAAGCAATGTAGCACCTTCTTGTTGCTGTAAGAAATAGACCAAGAATTTTTTATTTTTTGGGTCTAAGGACAGAGTAACAAAGCTCAAGTATAAATATTTCATCTAATTTTTGTTTTCCAACCATCCAAGGTTTGGCTAGGAGTTACAAGATAACAATATATACATTTGCTAGAAGCATAAAGGAACTAGGTTTTGACTAACAAGATTATCTCAGTTTCCCAGACATTTGAACACATCGTTACTGTAAAATTCTGAGTTTGCATGCAAATCATAGGTCTTGAACTTACGCAACATGTCTACTGCAATAAAGGTTACAACATAAGTCATGTTCATGAAGACTGACAGCAAAGAAAAAGGGGAAAGTTCAATTGCTCTTAATTCATTTTTAATTTTGCTTTTTCCCCTGGGATGATGTATACCCATACCCCATTAAAAGGCCGAAAAACCAAATCCTTTTTGCAATGCATAATCTTGGAAAAAGGAAGTAAATTTTGAATTGTATAAAAGAACTGATCACCAGTAACAGGAATACAAATGACAAGTTGTTTTGCCATCTTGATATCTAAGAAAGCATATTCAAGAATCAATCTGAGGAGTATAATCTAGTCAATCTCTCTATAATATTGTGGAAATAGAAAGGGAAAGAAAGAATTTACAAGTGAAGGGTGATCAAAGTAAGTTAGTGAAAACAAAGTCACAATTCAGAGTATACTCTGAGCTGCAGGACTTTCATAAGCATGAACTTAATTGCAGCCTCCTAAGATAGGGGAGTGCAAAGGAAGGTGCTAACAAATTTGGAATACTCCACCAGACAATATTACGGATAACACCTCCATTAGATTGATCACGACATTCAAATTTCTGAAAGATCTGCCCAACCTATCTCAACATGGAAGCAAATGAAATAATATAATAATGGTAAGAGAACACAGGAAAAAAACAAAATAACAGAGAACATAGAAAAAAGCATTGCCACAATGACCTACATAAATGCATTTCATAGATATAATAGCTGTGAATAAGCGTAGCACCTAACTTGTAGCAATCATGTTAATGAGAAGACTTCTGAGGAAGCAAGATACTCTCATAAAAATGATCTAGAAAATTAAATCAGAAAGCACAGTGTAAGAAATTTATTTTAACCCCGAAGCCGTGTCTGTAAAATGGTCAATGCCAAGAGTTTTTGCATAACTAGAAAAGAAAGGTAAAGCAAAGTGTGAAGTCAGAAGAAAACAAATTGGCCAAGAGATTAGTGAAAAAGGAAGGAAAAAAGAAGCAAGATTTTGCTGCAGTTGACAGAATGCAGGAATGTTAGTAGTTGAAAGAAAGGAAGTGTAGCAGCAGCTTGCAGAAGAATGAGAACATCAGGAGCACAAGTATACTGGAGGCACCATGTTCCATCCAACATGGCCAAATTGATAGGCTCACCCATGTTGCACCCCTCTACATTCACCTGCCAACCAAACCAAACCAAATACAGCTTATATTTAGTGTGGACTGAATGGACAAAAGAAAATAAGGAACTTACAAAATAGTACCAGAGCCTCCTCGATAGAAGAGCGTTGGTCAGGAGTTGTCAAGAGCCCCCTTTGTGTGTCTTGGAGAGAGTTCAAAAGTTGATGCTTTTTGTTCTCTAACACAGAATCATATGCCTTAAAACCCGGGAAAAAAAAAAGTTGTTAGTTAACCCCAGTTTGTGTTGGAAAGAAAATAGCAAGCATGAGATGAGAGGCATAAGAAGAGCAACCTGAGCTGAAGGTATGGTCATGGACATGGAGAGTTTCCAGGTGGTTGATCTTAAAGGCCTAACCAGGTAATTTGGCCTCCTTGTAGTAGTAGTAGTAGTGGTAGATGGTGATGGTAGGTACAAGGGTGAACGGAAAGCCAAGTCCATAATATTGCAAATCTATATTTGGGCGAATGTTACTATCCAAAATGCATAGCTAAATAGTGAGTAAATCAAAACAACAATGAGGAGCCAAATTACCTTCCCCTTTTCCTTTTCCTTGTAACGTGGTGCTATGTTTGCTTCGCCTTCTCTATCTCAGGGAAGGAGTACGAAAGCGACACACATGGCTCGGGTCGGCTGGGCCTTCTTCAGTTCTTGCGGAGACCATACATACAGCCATGTATGCCATTGAAACAAACAAGTTTTTTACTTTATCCTTTTCTCTCAAAAGGAACTTTTAAAATTATGTGTCCTAACGACCACCTTGAAATTTCATTCATATATAAAACAAACAAGCGCACACACGCACATTCCATAGAAAGTACTGTTTGGCATTCGGTATCATTTTGATAGACTTCAATTTTATTTTATTTCGGGAAATCACTGTAGACAATATCTAAAACAATACCAGAGACACCCGTTGTTGCTTTAAAACAACAGACCATCCAAATCCAATGACAAGAAAGGTTTTGAGGTTCTGTTTTGTTAAGCTCTTACTACAATATAATGGTTTCATTTAGTATTTAAAGGATTATTGTTTTTGGGCATTGCATAATTGTGGTTGCTCATGATTTTCACGAGTTTAATTTAGTGGTCTGCAATAATAAATCTTTAAAAATATTAACCCAATATATGCAGAGTGCACTCTGAAGACATATCAAAATAACTCAGTCAACATATCAAAATGAAAGCAAGTGTGACTGTAAATTGAAACAACCCTAACTGTGTGTTTTCTGTCCATCCTAGTAGGACAATAAGCACCAGAAACATGAAAAACAAATCATTTCCACAACTTCCGCAGTGACATATTTTTCTCGGTTTCCTTTTTCATCACCTTGGCCACAGCCATCTCAAAATCCTCCTGTGTCACATGTACCCTCCTCTCCCTCAAAGCAAACATTCCAGCTTCTGTGCACACAGCCTGCATAAAAGAGACACAAAAATTAAGGATATTCAGGTTAGGACACACTTAAAAGAATGCATTAATTTAAGCAGACAATATAAGCAAACACATTGCTCTACAATTGGTTTAGTATACTTGAATATAAAATAATAGAAGAATAATATGTTGTGTATTGATCTGTGTCAAGGAGTTACAATATATAGAGACCCTAATGGGCTTAAGTGTAAGGCCCAAACCTAATCCAAACCTAATCCTAATACAGTCAGAATACAGTCAGACTATTTACGGATAAGACAGAATCCAATCATATCTAATCAAATCTAATCATATCATATCTAATATTCTAACACTCCCCCTCAAGCTGGTGCGTATATATTATGAGCACCAAGCTTGTTACAAATGTATTCAACCTGAGGACCTCTAAGAGCTTTAGTGAAAACATCTGCTAGTTGATTAGATGAGTTGACAAAAGCTGTCTTGATTTCTCCTGACTGAATCTTTTCCCGAATGAAGTGACAATCAATCTCTATATGTTTGGTCCTCTCATGAAAAACAGGATTAGAGGATATATGTAGTGCAACTTGATTATCACAGATGAGTGTCATGGGTTGTTTCTGTTCACAAAGATGAAGCTCCTGAATCAACTGCTTTAACCAGATCAACTCACAGGTAGTATTTGCCATTGCACGATACTCAGCTTCTGCACTAGAACGGGAAACAACAGGTTGTTTCTTGCTTTTCCATGAGATTAAGTTTCCTCCGAAGAAGACACAATAACCAGAAGTAGAGCGTCTGTCCGAGGGTGATCCTGCCCAATCGGCATCTGAGTAACCACAAATTTCTGTATTTCCCTGATCCGAATACAACAAACCTTTTCCTGGTGCTCCTTTGATGTATCGGAGGATCCTCACAGCAGCATCCCAATGTGAATCACAAGGGGAATCAAGGAACTGACTGGCCGTACTGACAGCGAAAGAAATATCTGGCCTAGTCACAGTAAGATAATTGAGCTTCCCAATTAGCCTCCGATAACGTCCAGGATCAGATAACGGCTCCCCCTGTCCGGGTAATAACTTGACATTAGGATCCATAGGTGTATCAACTGGTTTACTCCCCAACATACCAGTTTCTTCTAGGATATCCAAGGCATATTTCCTTTGACAGATAGAAATGCCCTGTCTTGATTGCGCCACCTCAATTCCCAAGAAGTAACGCAGCTTCCCAAGGTCCTTTGTTTGAAATGTACTAAACAAATGCTGTTTTAACTGACGAATTCCGTCTTGATCACTTCCGGTGAGAATGATGTCGTCAACATAGACTAACAAATAGATACACTTATCAGGAGATGTAATCCTATAAAACACAGAATGGTCAACTTTACTGCGGATTAAGCCAAACGCCTGAACAGCAGAACTGAAACGACTGAACCATGCTCGAGGAGACTGCTTGAGACCATATAAGGATTTCCGAAGACGACACACCTTTCCAGACTCCTCCTGAGCAACAAAACCAGGTGGTTGCTCCATGTAAACTTCTTCTTGTAAATCACCATGAAGAAAGGCATTTTTGATGTCAAGTTGAAGGAGTGGCCAGTGACGAACAGCAGCAAGGGCAAGAAAGAGGCGGACTGACGCCATCTTAGCGACCGGAGAAAATGTATCGCTATAATCAAGGCCAAAGATTTGAGTAAAACCCTTGGCAACTAAACGTGCCTTGAGACGATCAATATGGCCATCAGGTCCAACTTTCACAGTAAAAACCCAGCGACAACCAACTATAGACTTCTCTGGAGGAGCAGAAACAAGGTCCCAAGTGCCATTGGAATGAAGTGCAGTCATCTCATCAAGCATTGCTTGACGCCACCCTGGATGGGAAAGTGCTTCACCTGCGGTCTTAGGAATAGAAATAGAAGAAAGACTAGAAACAAAGGTGAAATGAGGTGAAGAATGACGGTCATAACTCAAAAAGGTATAAAGAGGATAAGGGTTACGAGTAGTACGTGTACCTTTTCTTTGAGCAATGGGAAGAGTCTCTGATGAAGGATCCGGAGGGGAAGAAGCAACAGCAGTGGGCGATGAGTCAGCAAGAGTCGAGTCGACAGGAGGCACAGTTTTGCGACGCTGATAGGTGAGAAGTGGACGGTCCTCAGGTATAGAAGCAATAGGTTGCTCATCTGGAATAGTAGCACCTGCAGCTGGCAAAGACAAGTCAAGAAAAGGGACAGGAAGGACATGATCAACCTGTGACATCTGAGATGGGATAGAATTAAAGGGTTGTTGATCAAGAAAAGTGACATCAGCGGAAACTAAGTAACGCTTAAGGTCGGGAGAATAACAACGATAACCCTTTTGAAGACGAGAATAACCAAGAAAGATACACTGAAAGGCTTTGGATGTTAACTTATCCTTACCAGGAGTGAGATCATGAACAAAACAAGTACAACCAAAGACATGTGGAGTTAGAGGATAAAGAGGAACATCTGGAAGCAATAGATTATGAGGAATGTCATTGTGGAGCACAGATGAAGGCATGCGATTGATGAGAAAACAAGATATGAGTACAGCATCTGCCCAGAAGTGAAGGGGAACCTGCATATGAATAAGAAGGGTACGGGCAGTTTCAATGAGATGTCTGTTTTTACGTTCAGCCACCCCATTTTGTTGTGGAGTGTGAGGACAAGTAGTTTGATGTAAAGTACCTTGTGTGGCCAAGAATTTAGAAAAATCAATAGAAACATATTTCTTAGCATTATCACTACGTAGAATACGAATAGAAACACCAAATTGAGTATGGATCTCAGTAGAAAACTTTTTATAAATGGAAAATAGCTCGGAACGATTTTTATTAAATAGGTCCAAGTGCAACGGGAAAAATCATCAATAAAGGTAACGAAATACCGAAAACCTAAGACAGACAAGGTACGACTTGGACCCCAAATATCTGAATGAACAAGAGAGAAAGGGGCATCAGCTCGTTTATTGACTCGACTGGCAAAAGAGGAGCGTGTATGCTTCCCTTGTTGACATGACACACAATCTAAAGACTGAAGACCGGACAAAAGAGGAACCATTTTCTGCAACTTTGAAAGACTTGGATGACCAAGGCGACTGTGGATAAGTTGTGGAGATTCTGTGAGAGAGCATGCTACTGAAGGACGAGGCACATCCAGATAATAAAGCCCTCGTGACTCACGACCCACTCCAATCATTTTCCCCGTACCCGAATCCTGCACAGAAACAGAATGGTTAGAGAAAGTAATGGTGCAAGTGAGGGAGTGCATCAACTTACTAATAGAAATTAAGTTATAAGGGATGCCAGGAATGTAATAGACAGATGTCAGGGCCAAGGTAGAGGTCGGACGAGCTTGTCCAATCCCACGAACTGGGGCTTTGGTTCCATCCGCAAGGGTAAAAGACGATAAATGATCAGAATAAGTAAGAGATGTAAAGAGTTCCTTATTACCACAGAGATGATCGGTAGCACCGGAGTCAAATATCCAAGTGCCAAGTGATGTAGAATGAGAAACACAAGCAACAGGATTACCAGTATAAGGCTGAGACTGAGGAGAAGCCTTCCTCAGAGGGGTTTGGAGTACAGCATAGTCTGAACCTGAACCAAATGATGCATTGTCTGACTGAGCTATATTTGCAACAATAGAAGGAGAGTTAACCTCCGAGAGATCAGGAGATGCTGCTGCCATTTAAAGATAAAATATAAAAGCCGTAAACGAAGGCAAACGATATCCAATCAAGAAGAACCACGCGTCTAAGGTCAGACCCACAGAGAAACAATCACAGATCCAGAAAGGGGAGGAGAAGGCGAGCTTCTCTGTCCAAGACCGGCCGGAAAAAGCCGCTGGAATAGTGCTCACGCGCCGGCAGAAGGTGGCGCGTGAAGCCCACGCGCAGAGAAGACAGGTGGCGCGTGACGGCGCGTGGGAAATGCGTTGCTGACCGAACCACCACAGACCTGGTCGTCGGGAAGAGAGGGTCCTGATCGCGTGAAGTTTGGTCGGAAAAGTCGCCGGAAAAAGTCTCCGGTTGCCTGAACAGTGATTCTGACGGCGGGCGGTGGTTCCGGTGGCCGTCGGAGGTGCTGACACGTTTGGAAAAATCACTCAGAGGTTGTTTACAGCCCTAGAAGGCTTGCCGGAAGGACGCACGGCAAGAAAGAGGACTCCTAAGCAGTGGGCTTAGGTTTTAAAGCAAAAAACAAGGTTTCTAAGCGGAAGCGAGGGTTCCCAGAACGAAAGAGCTCTGATACCAACTTGAATATAAAATAATAGAAGAATAATATGTTGTGTATTGATCTGTGTCAAGGAGTTACAATATATAGAGACCCTAATGGGCTTAAGTGTAAGGCCCAAACCTAATCCAAACCTAATCCTAATACAGTCAGAATACAGTCAGACTATTTACGGATAAGACAGAATTCAATCATATCTAATCAAATCTAATCATATCATATCTAATATTCTAACAAGTATGAATACTTAAATTCATCACTATATGCTTTTATCATTATGATTTTTGACATGGATAGTGCATTTACCCCATTCGACAAGGAAATATTATATGAAAATGAAGGCACCTATTATTTAAATAAGTGCGACCACAGAGTAATAAATCACAAAAGCAAAGGACAATTTTTAAGAGGATAGTAGAGAAGCTAGAAAAACCAAAAATGCAATGCAAATGAAGTGGAAAATACCTTAAGCTCAGCACCAGATGCTCCATTCATCTTCTCAGCAATCTTCTTCAAATCAATGCCACGCATTAAATTCATTCTTCTTGAATGGATCTTCAGAATATCTAGCCGCGACTACATAAAAATGAATACACAGTCAATTTCAGGAATATCTGTTATCAATGCAGAAGGCGCATCTTCTTTCTGAGTACAAGAATATTAAAAGGTAACATGAAGGCAAGGATGGAAACCTCTTCATTAGGGTTTGGAAATTCAATCTTCCGGTCAATCCGTCCAGGTCGAAGGAGGGCTTGATCCAGGATATCAATCCGATTTGTGGCCATCAAAACCTGTAGTTACATATTTCTCTTCAGAACTTCCTCAAAATATTGTGAATTATATCTCAAAATAGTCAGATAAAATTAATAATCTCTCTTTATCTGTTACGGATTTCTATTTACTGCAGTAGACACCATGCAAGTTTTGAAATTCCCCTTAATACACTATAGGAGTATAGCACCATAATGAAGCAACATGTGTCACCTTGATCTTATTTGAAGCTTCAAATCCATCCAACTGGTTCAAAAGTTCCAGCATAGTGCGCTGTACCTCACTATCACCATTACCACTTCCAGATTCCATACGGGCTGATCCAATACTGTCAATTTCATCCATGAAGATAATTGATGGAGCATGCTCCCTGTGAAAAAGAATGGCGTTCAGTGTTCCATCATAATAATTAAACAAGACTTCAGACAACATATTTCATTCTTTTAGATTATCAGAACATGGATATAATAAAACAAATATGTCTTGGGGAATAAAATTGTCCATTTTGGTCTTTTTAAGTGTCGCTCAGTGAAAAATGGAAAAAGGACATAATATCCACGCAAATTTCAGTCATACATTCTATGCATCTAACTCCAAACTGGACAATTAAAATCTCATTAACAAGAAATATATCTTCACCCTAAGTTAACTTATGCCCTCTCTTATAAATATCTTCAACCCACGAAGTCATGAAACCAAGAAGACATCTTTTTCCCCCTTCTATTTTGGTGTAGGGCAAAAGATAATGATTGGATTAAGCTGAGTAAAGAGGATAAACCTGGCCATAACGAAAAGTTCCCTGACCATTCTAGAACCTTCTCCAATGTATTTCTGAACTAATTCAGAACCAGACACCCTGATGAATGTACAATCAGTATGATGTGCCACTGCCCGAGCCAACAAAGTTTTTCCTGTACCAGGGGGGCCATAGAGCAGGACACCCTGTTATATGTGAAAGAAAGTCAGCAAACAGAAAAAACAACAACTAAATAAGCTGACGGAAGGACGGAAAATTTGGCAATAACCTCAGAATAAGATACTACCTTTGGTTGTGCTATTCCTAGACTCTCAAACAGCTCAGGATGTTTAATTGGTAGCTCAATGACCTGTAAATTTGATCACATACATAAGGCCCAGAAACAATAATGCTTTTCCGAATATATAATAGTACAAAACATATATAGAATGTCAGGCAATGTACCTCTTTTATTTCTTTGATTTGCTGGTCTAAACCACCAATCATGTCATATGTAGAATCGGGAACCTTTTCAACTTTCATCAGGTTGACCAGCGGATCAACTTTGCTTGGCAGAACTAAATGAAGAACATAACTGTCATTGCGGAGGGCAACTCTAGTTGACGGAGTAATCTTTGTAATGTCAATATTTTTATCAATATCGACAACATATTTTCCTTCTGGATGGACCTGAAAAAAGTAAAAAGGAAAAATCAGTACTTCAGCTAGGTTTTGATCCGGATTTATAAAATTTCATGTACAAATTAACATTACCAGCCTTTGACACACGAGAGATAGAAAGAGAGAGAGAGAGTTAGAATGGAACATGAGCTGACCTTGACCAAGACTTTGTTCTTGCCCATAACTTTGACAACTTCACCGACATATGAGCCAGGCTCCTGAAGAAGCTGCAGTTCTTCTCGGAGCATCCTCACTATCAAGATTGGCATAATTGAGAATATCAAGGATTAATTGATGAAAACTAAAAACAAAAAGTTAACTAATAGGATTTGTGTCATTGCAATGAAATTGAAAAAATCGTATTAAAAACAAGAAAAACAAAACAATAGGTTAATAAGTAAAAGTAAAGAATAGGGTTAGGGTTAAGGGTAGGGAAAACGTACCCCTAGAATTAAGCTCGTTTCGCTGAGCCTCGAGACGATTGAGGTTGTGGGTCTTTTGGCGGAGGAGGAGCTGAAGCTCATGGATGTGAAGAGAATAGTACTGGCGGAGACCCTCTCCCTGCTTGGTAGGCTTGGCGGAGCAATTCTCCTCCGGTGCGATAGCCATGGTTTCCAAGATCTAACGAATTGATTCCAAAACAAAACCACCTCTGAGGTAGTAATAGACGTTAGTAAGGACCTTAGTAATGCGTTTTGAAGCCATCACAAGTGTACTACTAAGTTTAAGACACAAATTTCAGGCTTCTCACTTCTAAAATTTAACCCAAACAAAAAAAAAAAAGTGTGAAATGATAATTATAAGCTCTAAAGAAAAAATTATTTCTAAACCAGCTTATCAAATGTACACAAAATAGCATACTAACCGATTCAAAGTGAGAGTACACATGATAATCTAGAATGCTTTCTAGAGCAAAAAATTATTTCTAAACCAGCTTATCAAATTTACACAAAATAGCATACTGGCCGATTCAAAGTGAGAGTACACATGATAATCCAGAATGCTTTCTAGATTTTTACCAAAAATAAAAAAATAAAATAAAAGGACACACTAGCAAAATAGCTCACTGAAACCCAGAATTTGAACCATACGACCAACTATTAAAATTTTGAAATAAGAAAAATAAATAAACAAAAACAAAAAAACTGCTAGTGCCGTTGCAAAAAGCAAGAAAGTAAAAATAATCAACAAACAAAAGGGTAAAAGAAAAAAGTGAGATGAAACCCGAAAAATCCCAAAAAAAAAAATTCCTCTTTCATCAAAATCCGATCACACAAAACAAAACCCCAAAGCAAGTGTTGCAAGGGAGGAACAGACAGCACGGAATGATAAAAAGAGAGAGAATCGAAAAGGGTACAGAGATTCGTAGCGAACCTTGCAGTCCTAGGAATTGAAATTCGATCAGCGAATAGATAGAGACAGAGAGAGAAAACCGTTGAAGGGTGGAAGAGTGACACTGATGAGACTGTTTTCACATGTAATGTTGTGCGCTGCGAAGCAGGACTCTGATGTGTGCTGTTCGATACTGTACGACACAATTCCACGCTTTAACACGTGTTATATAAATTTAAAAAAAATTCAAAGATTGAGATTGTGTTGGTTAAGTTTTTAATTTCAACTATTAGATTCGTTCAATTTCGATTACCATTTTATTAAATTTAATATAAATATTTGAGATATCTTATGTTTCTTTGCAAAATTGATGAATATTATAAGTTTAGTTTTTTTTGTTAAAATATTAAATATTAAATATAATATACACTACATAAATTAAAGATATTATTTAATATAAAATGTGTCCTAATGTATCAAAATTTGACATTTTTTAAAATTAATGTGTCAGAATGTCATGTCGTATCGTGTCACGTAGCCCGTGTCAGGTTGTGCGTCCATTAGATAGCTACTATACAGGTTGGTATAACAAATTTTACAATTTTTTTATATTTTTAATTTATTATTTTTATAAAAATAGGTTATATTTGTATTTTTTTTTTCTGAGAACTTCTTGTAACTATTTTGTTATGCTAGGATTTAATTTATTCTTTTTTTATTTCTTTTAGAATGATAATTCACTGACTTTGTAACCTGTTCTAGTTTGATTGTGAGATTATATATTGGATAAAATGAAACGAAAATAGTAGGCTCATTTTTAGGCTCTGACATAACATGTTTATGAAATAATAAAAGCTTCACTCGCCTATTGGGTTTTTTTTTTGTTTTTTTTTCTAAAGTATGTTTCAATCGACACATGATGACTAATCCTTTTTTTTTTGTTGCTTAAACAACCTAACTATTAGAGGTGAAAGTGAGCTGCGTCAAGCTTTGTTCCGAAAAGCTCAAGCCTACATAAAAAAAAAAAATTAATTAGGCCTGACCCAAGCCTAGTACGAGTCTAACTGTTAACCTGACTTGACCTGTTTATAAAAAACAAATGGCCTGGCCTAGCCCGTTAGTCTGCTAATTTTTAACTTCAAAGCAAAACCATGAATCAACTTTACAAAATACTCAAATTATGTTGCTAAACCAAAAATCATAATTTCAACGTCCAAACAGAATCATGAATCACAACAAAACTCATACAATCTGCATTTAAGTCAATTTCAAAAACAAAATGCTCAAATTAAATAACATATAATTTATCAGATCCAACAAACAAATTCATACTATGTAAATTAAAATAACTACATGAATCCAACAAACACATCATGATGTTTGTAGTAAGTATAACATCTCCCAAAAATCTTTTAATATATACACACAATCTAACATGTTGAAATGTTGGTTCCTCCTATATAAGAAATAATGCCAGATTTCTATTAAAATATAATCAAATATAATTAAGTTATAAATAACTATAATTGATTAAATTTATATCTTTTATTTTTTCTTCAAGTCATACTTATTTTATTTTATTTTATTTAAAATAAATAGACAATATAGGTCGGCCTATAAGCTTGTAGGTCAGGCCTTGTGAAAGTGAGATTATGGCCTTTTTATTAAATAAGTTTTTTAAAGTCCAAACCCGGCCTATTTTATAAAATATACTAGGTTAGGTCTGGCCTGACGTAGGCTGAACCGTAAGCCCTTGTAGGCCGACCCGATCCAGTTTCACCCCTACCTACCAGCTATTTACCAACCTTTTAGGCCTTTCAATGAAGTTAAGAAGCTGAAATTTTTGATCTTTAAATTGACAGAAAATAGAATCAAACTATTATATGATCTATAAAACTAATAATATTAATCTGTAATTAATAAATTATTGAAGTATTATAAATTTTTTAGTTATATATCTAAATAATAAATAATAAATCAATACAATAGGCTAAATAATTTTTTTTAAAACACATTTAAAGAGATCTTAAAATTTATTTTGCAGGTACTTGGAGCTTTTGGATAAAACTTGAGATACATTGAGTGTTATGGGATGGAAAATTGATTAATTTTTTTTATTACCAAACACCACGCAATTAATGGTAACACAATAATTCCATGTTTGTTAAATGATTAGCGAGGTCTTTAAACGGCAAAAACCCAACTCGCGAAGTAGAAAAAGCCGTAGTTGAACGCTCATAATTTAGCCATCTTAAGAAAACTGCACTCTCTTGATTCTTTTCCTTACCATCCATTTCGATTGATAGTTGGGATAACTTGACTCAAATTATCATTCCGATTCACTACAAGAAAGGTGCAATCATGGAATATATTTTCTGTGCAACTCTCTTACCAAAAGAAAAAAAAAAAAAAAAAAAAGATGACAGAAAATAATCATAAAGGCAATGAAAATAGATTACTTTTTGTCATAGATATACCGAATACTCTACAAGTTCCTGGGAGGATTCGACCATGAAACGGGAAATTGCATTCAGCTTCACCATTCAATAGAGCAGCTAAACCGTGATGGAGCCCTCTAGAAATTCACCAAATCAGAAATAAGCTAACAGCCACAACCCTAATTCCCATAGGAAACCAAAAGGAATGGGCAAAATGCTCCCTAGCTAGATAAGTAGAGGGACAAATCTCTCTTGCCAAGAGGAGGAAGCCAAGAACAACGTTAATGAGCCCCTATCAACACTCCAATGGATCCCGAGGAAGAACCTTGCAGGTTTGTTTACACCATCTCTGGTGGTTTACACCGAGCAAGAATAAAGGGTCAATTGTTGGGCAATTCTTTGGGGGTGATACTAAAGTAGAATTTTACGTGTACAAAGCCTAGTTTTGGATCAAGACTAGTGCACACAAACTAGTGTCCAGCAACAAAATTTGTGGCCACTTCAGCTTTGCTGTGACACAAGTACATACATTTAATGAATTAATGAAATTTTGACCGTAGGTAACATCATAATTTACAACAAAGACAACCTCATTTTCCCCTCAACAATAATTTCTTCTTAAAGATTTAGGGTATGCATCGCATACAAATTTTAGCATACGAGGTGTAGATGTCAGCAAGTTTCATCCGCATTGTAAACAGGTATCTGCCAAGCTTTAGTGTTCTTTTTTGGGTCATCAGTGAGGCTAAGATCTGTCTCACCTTCCTTGAATGTTCTAATGAACGATTTAGCACCCATCATTATAAGCCTCTCGATCATGAATAATTGGTAATTGTTCTCAATCAATGGATCCAAGACATGGCTATAATTTGACGAATATGCCAATCTGTACCTGCAAATTTAAAGCACGAAGAGCATAAAATTTAGTATTTGATGCCAGCCAAAAGTTTCCTCCAAAAACTACAGCATATCAGAATCATTTTTGGTTAATTTCTGTAAAGAATATGGACTAGGTATGATCAAGTGTCCATAAGCTTCCAAATCTAATAACCAGCAACAAATAATCCACCAAAAAACAGATGAAGGACATGATAAAATAAAACATGAATAAGAGAAAAATCATAACTTGAGTGCAAAGTGTTGCATATCAGGTTCAGTGAGATGTAATGCATGTTACGATTTTTGCATTTTATAAATAAATCCAGATGTTAACTTAAAAATGACAACAAACAAATAAGTCCAGCAGAATCTATATGACAAGCCTGTGAATATTGTTTCCGTGACCATTGCATAAACAAGATCAGCTTCTTGTAGCATTAACACATTTTAATTACGGTCAAACTATTGGGGGGCATGATTTGTGCATCCTGACACGAACCAATTACCACAAAAGTTAAAACTGTTAGGTGAAAACACAAACAATATTAAATCTAATATGACCTTTCATGCAAGAGCCCTTTGGAGTTGAAGTATAGACGATACATACATCCATCCTCCCTTATGCTGAACTTAAACTTCTATTTATAAAAATGGGAGCATTAAGAATTGAATTCTAGACTACATAATTATAGAGGCTTCAATACCAATCATGATTCAATTATCTCAAAGACTTATATTGTTGGGTGAAGACATATGAATGATTTTATATTAAATTTTTAACTCAGCTAAAGACAATCATTACATACAAGTTTTAGGTCCACCCCCAATGAGAACATGAGAACGGTTACCTGACGGAAAGCGATGAAAAAAACCCTGGAATCCTTTCATTTGAAGCAATAAACAAGGTTCTTCCAGGAGGGACCCACTTTGCTATTCTACATATTATAAACTCAGGCCGAGTATCCCTATCTAGGTGAGGGTGGAGACTCCTTACTACGCCAAATCTATCCTTCCTGGTCTTTATTTTATCCCCGCGACGAACATGGATGGCATCATAATCACCAAGTAGTGTTTTGATCTGTGAACAAGAGTCTGATCAGCAACTGAAATGTTTAACAAAGAGAGATTCTGATATTGTTCTATTGTAATGCCCATTTTCTCCCTATATTCTGTTTTTGTTGTTACCCTCTGTTGTTGTTGTTATTTGATGGTCTTGGGCCTTCATCCCTTCCTTCTTATGTTTTAGACAAACTTCAAGGGCCCATCACAAGAATTACAATGTTCTGAATTTTGAAGGATATTTTGAGAAAAAAATCATCTATTTTTTGTATCATGAACCAACTAAACTAAAAGCTTAAACAGTTGTGTAAAGACACTTTGGCTTAAAGCCTGGAGAATGCATAGGCCCGCCTACCTTGTGCTGAAATTTAACTTTTTAGTAGAAGAACGGGGGGAAAAGGATTGACTCCGGACAACTTGACCATAAAGGCTCTAATATCATGTCACGAACCAACTATCCCAAAAGTTTAAGATGTTAGGTAAAGACACATTAATGATTTTATATTATATCTCTAACAGGTTGCATAAAAAAGAGATAATAAGAGAAACAAAAGAATATTATAACGGAGGGATGAAACCAAGCATATATCTAACCCTAAGATCAATTCTGTTCTTGTTAGTCTATCAAATTAGCTGCCTAGAATTCTATTACCTGCACACAAATGTACACCTGAGATATACACAGATACAGGCATTAACACAGTGAACTATGCAAAAGAATAACTTAAATCCCCTAGCTGCTCATCCTCCCAGCCAACATGCATGCAAATTAAACTGTCACACTGTCTTTTGAAAAGAGGTACTGAACTCTAAAAAAATTATGGTATATAATGACAATTGAACCTAAATTCAGCTCCAATATAAGATCTCTCATCTGCCACTATTCTTAACTTTATACATATTTCTTCCTCGCCTCAGTTCTTTCCTTTTCTTATTGGGGAAAACAAAGAGGGGGGCAACACGCGTGGGGTAAAAGGCTTAATAATGTCCATCATATCCACAACCCTATTATGCTGTAAAATTTCTACATTCATCTATGCACTAAGAGATTCACAAAATATAGATACATTTAATTGAACAGCCTCAATAAAATTATGTTACATTTTATGAATTAAAAATACACCAGAAAGGTTCAATCCTATGTAGTCATGTCCATGACCTGGTGTGACTTGCAACAAGCTAGTTCACAATACAAATTTCAAGGATAGGCTCAAGAAACGCTCTAGTCTACAACCTCCATGTAATCTACCAAGTGCAGAGACAAGACATTCATTATCCTTGCCAAACATTTTACCCTTGACATAACTCATTCAGGTTTTTGTTGATGCACAATATCCAAATCCAACATTAGAAGAGCCAAAAAAAAACTAATATTCTAACAAATTGTATACTCCAAGCAATAGATTTAGAAACCCTTTATAAAAAAAAAATTAAAATTAAATCAGTCGTACATGCAAAAATTAAGGACTTAAAAGAGATTATGTATCAAGTAGACCTTTTCTGCTGCATCTCTTAGTTTTTGTGCAGCCATTGAGGGCAGAAATGAATATGGCAACATTATAGCACTACGGTTGTTTCGATCCTTGCATTCCATAAACCTGCAAGGTTATCACTAGCACCTCAAAAAATGACCAAAATTCAGAAGAACCTCTGCCCATGGCATATAAAAACCAAATTTTATGAGCAATCATCTACATTGTAGCATCTTTGGCAGTTGTTGCAGGGCATGATTTACAACTCAAATTAGTTGTGATACAATTAAAACTTCAAAGTCAACCACATTGGGCATATTTTAAATTCATAACTTAGACATTTGTAGGGTACATCAGTTTTAAAAGTTCAGGAGTTCTTCTCAACAAATTTCTCTATCATATAGCAACTTCTGAAATTCTGCGAGTTTGAAATAAATTCCTTTAACAAGAAAATATAGATAAAATTGATACATATTTCAAAGTGGACTGAAGCTGAAGACACTTTAGTAGAAATTAAGAGTTTAAAAAGGCTTTACAAAGGTCATGGTTACAGATTAATGAAAATTCAATAGCAAATTTTTATTTTCTAGTCATAAGAATGATCATATTTGTAGTTTTCCAAGCATCACAATTGCATACAAATTTTTTCATTTTTTTCCCTGGCTAACATGCAATTGTTATTGCTTCCTGTATAAATTGAATGAAATTCAGATAAGCTTCATCTTTTATAGAAATATACCCCACTTACTATTCTAAAAATCAACCTGAACTTGCAATGTAATCAAATAAAAAAGCGCAGTTTGCATATCTGAATGAACAATTTGGAAAAGGAAAATAAGTGGGGGAAGGGGTAGTAAGATTGACCAACCTACCAAGAAAGTGGGCTAGCTGTTCTGTTTATGAGCAACAGATCAGAGTAGCGATTATTTTCTTTAAGATCAACACGGCTAACTCCTTCCACATGGGCAGCTCCTCTGGCTCCCAACTTCATGCTTGTTGATAGAACCCTATACCACTCTTTTGAATTGTCAAAAATTGCGGGGATAGTCTCCGATATGAGGTCAATGTCATATAAAGAATCCATGGCACAAGAACTTGCTGCCCACCTTTCATAGTAAACAGGGCTAGTTAAATCAACCAATAATTTGCAATGCAAATTATAACAAATACATATATTAATGATATAAAAGTTTCATCACATACAAGCACCTACACAGGACTAATGTTCACTGCTTGAAGAAAATGAGGATTCAAAGCAGAAAATAGCTACAAATTTGAACAAAACCAGGAATTTGACAGTGAAGCCAGAAAGCAACTCACCGTTCCTCAGAACTAGCATTACTGGAATGATGAAGGATCCCTTTCTTATTATGTATTGGATTAATACACATCCTCGATGGCATGACAAAAGTCCTGCAACAAGCAACAGTGATCAAACACATGAGAAAGACCAGCATATAACAAGTTTACTTAATATTTTCCTCCACAATAAAAAATGTTCAAATTGCCATCTCTTCACTCAACAATCATACAAATGGCAACATATTGCAATAAAGCTTATTCTATTTCAAGACATTTGAGTTTAAAATTTGCTTATGATTTGTGAGGATGGGAAACACCCATGTCAATTTTTTAAGGGAATCTATTAAGTGTGCTTATCACCTGTTCGACGTTTGTTCGAAGTAAAAGATATATTCCACTAATATTTTAATGCCTTTGTCAGATGAAAATCAATTTGGATTGTTGCAAAGTTTTATGTTCTGCTTGACATTAGTATTTGTTACAACACTTTCTCTAATATTTATAATTAACTGAAAATCAATTTTGAGTATAGTTTTGACTTTTGTTAATAGTTGAATGCAAAAATAAATAAATTATTTGCTATGTTAATACATTAAAGTGCTCCACTTTACAAATGATGTATGGGTGATTCGTCGGTATACAAATATACTTGTCTTCATAACTTTAGGGTATAAATTTATAAGTTGAATATGTAGTACGCACATATGCATTCAAACCATTTGATGAAATGTTTATAAGAGCATTTGTTTAGAATATCTCCTAGATTAATGATTAAATGAACTTGTGCGTCCGGGTTTTGCCCTTTATTAGTGAATGAAAAATGAATAGAGCATCTAAGGCATTAATGAGGGTAGTGGTTACACACCTGCGAAGATACATGGCCTCTTCAAGGGCACACCTGAGGCTTGATTCCTGGTGACCCAAACCCTCACAAGATCCACAGTGTTTTCCGGGGCAGTCGATTCTGTTGCCCCAGTAGAGATACTTGTCAAATTGGTGACGCTGTTCACGTTCGGATTTTGAAGACCCACTTGTCGAAACCATGGAACATAACAAGAACAAGAGCGCAATCGCTATCACTGCTGCGCCAAGGACCAAAACTGGAGATCTGAATGCTTTTGGTTTTCCCTTTGAGGTTCTGTGATTGTGAAATGCCATTCTATTTCAATTGCGAGTTCGAAGACGAAGACAAAGTGTTTTAGTACAACACATTGTTATCGATTCTTCGAGTAGATTTCATATTGGCTACACCTATAGTGCCAGTGAAAAAATTCACCTATACTGTGAGCGGAGAATTATATACTTGATATTTCTGAGAACTAATCTTACTTCTCGTAAGTAATTTGTTATTCACCTCTAAAAAAAAAATAATCAAATTAATAGTTATAAAATAAGAGGTAGGATATCGTTCCAATCAATTAGAGTTACTATTAATCAATTTTATCATTAGATTGATTATCTTAATTTAAGGGTTATATTTATTTTATCTTTGTATGATTATAATTCCTTATATTTAATGTAAAAATATAAAATATGGGAAACCATAATCATACAAAGTTGAAAATAAATATAAAGTATTGAATATGGGTAATCATAACCATACAAAGATGAAAATAAATATAACCGCCAGATTAACATAATTGATCTAACGGTGAAATTGATTGGTAGTAACTCTAATTGGTTATTACAATATCATTTTCCATAAAATAATATTAAATAAAAATATTAATTTAATAATAATAAAATTACTTATAAGATATAATAAAAAAAGAGTTTTATAAGAGTTATGTTGTAGGAAAAATGATTGTAGAATGTTATAGAGATTCGTTTTGCGTGCCATAATTTTTTCTTTTTCTTTTTTCTTCAAAAAGAAGGCATTTTCAGTCCAAAGCAATAAAAAAGAAACAAATTGGTCCCTGAAATTACAAAAAAAAGGCCACGTTGGTCCTTCTGTGAACTCCACCGTAACAGCCCAACTAACGGTGCCCATGTGGCACGTTAGTGTGCTGACGCGGCTTGGACGTTGGACAGTGTGGATGAGCAAACGACGATGTTTTGTTGCAAATGGGTTCAGAGCTTTTCAAAGTAGGGCACGACGTCGTTTCTTGTTTTGATCATGAACCCTAAATGTGAAAATACCCCAAATTCCTTCAATCGAACCCTAAACAGACATAAATCCCCCTAATTGATGAGCAAAACCCTAAACAGCAATACGCCCCCAAAATCTCTAGACGTTGATGATTGAAACTCGATGACAGTAGAGGACATCAACAGGATTTGCTGGGCGTGGGAGAAGATGAGTGTTTCTTCTGGCATGGGGGGATCAAGTGGGAGTACTTCAATGGGGGGAAGAACACTGACAAGGACCGCCGGTCGTAGGTGCAAATGTAGTAGACAAAGTATTGTATATACCTCCAAAACTGAGAAAAACCCAAAGAGGGATTTCCTTGGGTGTCCTAATTTCAAGGTATACATGTGTAATGTGCCCCTTTATTAAGTTGAAACACTTGCTAACCGTGGTTTTTTTTTTTTGCAAGAGAAGCCCTATTGTGATTTTTTTTAGATGGGTAGATGATATGTGTAATGAACCCATGGAGCTGGAAGAAGCAAGAATTCACACTGTGGAGTTGGATGTTGCTGAAATTAATTTCAAGTTGAAGTATGTGAACATGATGATGAGAGAGCAAGATGTGAAGATTACTGAGCAAGGAATGAAGCTTTATGAGCAAGAAAGAAAACTGAATGATGTATATCTGAAGATGGTGGAGGAGTTAGATAAGATGGACAAACAAATTAGGACAGTTGATAGGTCAGCTAGGGTCTTAGGTGCTGCTTGTGTTGGTGTGATCATCATCTGTATGTTTGTTGTTAGTGTGGTAAAAGTGAAAACAAGTTACCCCAATGTATTTTTCCTTCAATGAATTGTAATGAGTACTCAGTACTGTTGTTATACAAATTAATGAAGAAGGTTGTATTATATGGAACATTCTCTGTTGGTTCGAATCTGTCTGTTTGTGTATGGTATCATATGGCCTATTATAAAGAAGCTTTCAATATATTCCTATATATTTTATGGCATCATATATTTGTGTATCAACTACTGCACTATTGGATGCTAAGTTTCTTTTAGTATGGTATATTGTATAGTTAGGCATGGAATGAAGGCCAATAGCTTGCTATATTGTATCACAAACCATCCATGTACAGATATAGATGCAAAAATCATGAAATTGCTGTTACAGAAGTTCCATATTGTTATGCACATTTGTTAACTAGGGAAAAACACGAGGGCCATTTTGGTCCTTGACAAATTACATCGAGTACCATTTTGGTCCCTGACAAAATGCACGGGGCCCATTTTGGTCCCTGACCACAGAAAAATAGGACATGACTTCATTGATTTTCTATCCAGTACAAGTTTACAGAACAAAAGTGCATAACAGATGACATGGAGGTCCAACAACTACAATTACATAACTCAGTTAGGCATAACAGTAAAAAATGAACATGCTTGTATGACATTCATCTACCCTGTTAGACATAACAGCTGGAACATTCATCAACCCTGTGACCATTTTGGTCCCTGACAAATTGCACGAGGCCCTTATTGGTCCCTAAACAGAGAAATGGCTGCACATACTTGTCTACTTTTGTATGCAGTCCAAATTTGTTCAAAACAGAAGTGCAATACATCAGATACAAATGTTGTCCAATATGTTCAACCAATAGACATGCAATACTCAGTTAACAAACATATCTCAGTTAAATATATTTGTCCAAGAACTACAAAAGAGTAGTGCATTACAAAATAAAGCCAACTGCCAGGAATGAAAAGAAAGACCCCTAAATACAATATGGCCAGAATTCAAAAAAAAACATTGACTATATGAGGCCTCCAAAAACATAATGGCTAGAATTTACAAAAAAGTCAGTCACATTATATGCAGTTCTTTTCAGTTGGCTCATGCACTACTCACACTTCATGTACAACATTCATTCATTTTCTTGAGGCAGGCCTTGGTGCCCTGAAACCAGGGGTTGTAATGAAGGCCAAAAATTTGCTTCGTGTGCCACTGGATGTTGCATTCCTTGTTTCCTCACTCAACATTTCATTTGCCTGTTGTGGATTTGATGGAGGTGGGCTGCTTCCTCTCAAGTTGCCTTCATGTGGCTGAGAACTACCATGTGTTGCAGGGCCTCCTTGACTTAATGAGATTTCATCTACTGAGTTGGATCCAATCCTTACAGATTCTGGTCTTACTTGTTTGTTTTTTTTGTTGGAAGATGGTGGTCCCTTACAACTTTTTGCATAGTGTCCAGTCTGACAACATTTAGGACACTTGGGTGCATATGTCCTTTTAACTTTCTTTGTACTGCTCCCTTGCTCAACTTGAAATTAATTTCAGCAACTTCCAACTCCACAGTGTGAATTCTTGCTTCTTCCAGCTCCATGGGTTCATTACATATGTCATCTACCCATCTAAAAAAATCACAATAGGACTTCTTCTCCTGCAAAAAGAAACCACGGTTAGCAAGTGTTTCAACTTAATAAAGGGGCACATTACACATGTATACCTTGAAATTAGGACACCCAAGGAAAGCCCTCTTTGGGTTTCTCTCAGTTTTGGAGGTATATACAATACTTTGTCTCCCACATTTGCACCTATGACCGGCGGTCCTTGTCAGTGTTCTTCCCCCCATTGAAGTACTCCCACTTGATCCCCCGATGCCAGACGAAACACTCATCTTCTCCCACGCCCAGCAAATCCGGTTGATGTTCTCTACTGTCGTCGAGTTTCAATCATCAACGTCCAGAGATTTTGGGGGCGTATTGTTGTTTAGGGTTTTGCTCATCAATTAGGGGGATTTATGTCTGTTTAGGGTTCGATTGAAGGAATTTGGGGTATTTTCATATTCAGGGTTCATGATCAAAGCAAGAAACGACGCCGTGCCCTACTTTGGAAAGCTCTAAACCCATTTGCAACAAAACGTCGTCGTTTGCTCATCCACGCTGTCCAACGTCCAAGCCGCGTCTGCACACTAACGTGCCACATGGGCACCGTTAGTTGGGCCGTTACGGTGGAGTTCACAAAAGAACCAACGTGGCCCCTTTTTTGTAATTTCAGGGACCAATTTATTCCTTTTTTATTGCTAGGGACTGAAAAGGCCTTCGTGGATATTGCCAGGGACTAAAAAGGGTATTTACTCTAAAAAAGAGTTTTATAAGAGTTATGTTGTAAAAAAAGCGATTTTGTAATGTTATAGAGATTCCTTTTGCGTTCCATAATTTTTTCTTTTTCTTTTTTCTTCAAAAAGTGTGGGTCCCACAAAATATTGTGTGTGTAGGAAAGTTTGTTGTGTCATGTTAAATGACAAATGCAAACCCCTAAAAAAAATTATAAATATATCTTATCCCATTGTAAGATTTACTGCGTGAAATTTTAGTTATTTTTAATGGCCATAGATAAAGAAATTACTTAGTGTGTTGTGTACTCCTCCATTGTATGTCTATAAATCTAATTTATTGTTTTTTCAAAAATAAAATTAAGACTTGAGTCATGAGCCTCGTTAAGATTTATATTACGGGAGGGTTATATTTACAATTTTTTTTTATAAACTACACTATATATTCCGGAAGTACACTAGGTTACTTTATATACTTCCGAGTACATGACGTAATTTTCAAAAATTTATAAAAGAACTTTTTAAATGAATCCTTTCTCTTTATATTAATAATTACTCGTAATATATTAATTAAAGTTCGCCAATGAAAATTAAATTAAGAATTATTTTTTGTCTGATCATGTTATCCGTGTTTTGTAATGTGATTAATTTTTAATGTTAATAATAACATGTTTATGGATAATAAAAGGATGAGAGATATTCTTACTATCAAAAAATTCTACTATCATGTTCGTATTTGGGTGTCCTAGAGACAATCTTATGATTAAATAAGGACATAGATGTAGACCTTTTTAATATTGTCGCAAATAAATAAAAGCACTCTTTATCTTGTTTCATAATTATGTCTCGATATTAATGTTAATATATTATGAATAACTTGATAAACCCCGTGGAATAAAATAGGTATCTCTTGAGTATCTGTGATGAGATCACAATCATGAGGATTCAAGAATACCGGATGTTTATTCCTAATTTTATGTTCCTAGTCTAGAGATACTGAGAATGGGGTCAGTAATCTCGGGTAAGACTAGCACGACTTATCTACTTGTATATGGATACAAGGTATAGACCTCATGTGCTACAGATATGGAGATGTCTTAGCTAAAGTCGTGGGTGAACCTATAAGGGTATAGCTCGCACTGAACGGACCCTCAAAGAGACTCTATGAGAAATCTCACAGATAGTATCATTAGAGTAGTCTCTATATATTTGGTTATGTCTTTCCTTAGACCAGAAGTTATCACTTAGACTGTCTTCTAGAAGGCATGCCTTGATTGTACACCTCGTCTTCCTGAAACATGGAGACTCATAGGTATGCTCTTGGGCTTGTCCTGATAGGGCACAGGGCTAGGGTAATAAGCTGAAGGAATTCGTCAAATCTCTATGAGAGATTAGGTTATCCTTAAACCGGAGAAATCGGGATGACATTTACAGTGACTCGGGAATCTATGCATAGTAAAAGAGATCATAAGATGATCTGCCTTTAGAGTCAGTAAATTGAAGACTCCCTATTTCATAAAAAGCTAACCCTAAACCGCAAGGGATGATACATTTCTTTACCCTAGGTTTTATGGGAAGGTAACCGAGACGAAGGGACAAACATACAGCAACCAAATATGTTTAATAAGATGATCAAATCATTAATCTAACTAGTTCTGGGGCAACAAAGCATTCCTAGTGCTCTGTGTTGTCATTAGATGGGTTGTGGGCTTATTGGGCCCAAGCCCATTTATGTCAGTGGCTAAGTTGGACCTAATGAGTCACACACAAACACCTAATTGTCTAGATGCTCTAGCATTAAAGATATTGGGCCTAATAATAGTTATTAGCCCAAGAAGTTGTTTGGAACTCCACCTAAAGGGGTGGAGGGCGCATAGATCATTGTAATGGGCTTGGATAGTCCAAGACATTACTAATTAATTTAATTAGTTAAATTAATTATCAAACATTTAAATTTTGAATTTTGGAATTCGAAATTTGAATTTTGAAATTTTGAATTTTGAATTTGAATTTCGAAATTCGAATTTTGAATTTGAAATTTGAAATTTGAATTTGAATTTTGAATTTTGAAATTTGAACTTTGAATTTGAATTTTGAATTTGAATATTTGAATGTTTGAATTCAAATATTTGAATTCGAATTTGAATTGCCTATGAAAGGTTGTTTCATAACAAAAGGATAAGATGAGATCTTGTTGGAACAAATCACTAGTATCATGAGAGAATCTTTTGGACATAATCCAAGTCTATATATGGCGCTGATTTGGGTTGTTGGTGAGCAAGATTTGCTCATCAAAATCAGCTCCAGAAGATTCAGTCAGTTGGGAGAAAATCTGAGTGAGTTTATTCATATTTGAATGCAACTACTCACATGTATCTGGTCACCTTTTTGGGCTATATGGGGCGCACCATATAGCTGATCTTATGAAGATTTCTGATCAGAATTTTGAATAGGTTTTGAACCAATTCTCAAGAGAATATTCCAGGAGCCTGTTAGCAATTTTTGAAATTAAACAGCTCCATTTTTCTCTCTCCAATCTGGCGCCTAATGATCAGATTTTTGGGAGAAAATTCTGATTGGTATTTTATTTTAAATACTCTCCTCTTATGCGCCTAAGTGTTTAGTTGTTCCTCCAAGGGTTTTTCTGAAAAGCCTAGCCTATTCTCTACTTTCTCCTGCGCCAACTTGAAGCATTCACATTGAGAGCTTCACTCTTTCAAACACTTTCACCTAGCCTCCATCTTCACACATAGAGCGCCTAGCAAGCCTCTTTGTGGTGATCATCCGGTGGCTTCACAAGAAGGACTTCTTGCACCTAGACGAGTGGGGGGTGTGGATCATTATTAGAGGTTCTGAACCCTTCAGACCTGCCTTGATCATCTGGTGATTTCACGAACAAGGTAACATCATGTTTTCCTAAAGCATGATCTTGATGTGCATGTATATTCCGCAAAGAAAAATTTTGTTTTTCCCTCTTGCATGCATCGGCCTTCAAGGCCATCTCGAACTTTCAAGTGGTATCAGAGCCCGGTTGCTTTACCATAGACGGGTGATGGTACCTTGTTTGTGATCATATTTTTCACGGTTAAAATTTCTTTAAAAGTTAAAGATTCAATTTTTTCGTATGGATTTTAATTTACAATACTTTAAACGGTTAAAGTTTTCGTTTTTATGAACATGTTATTTCGAATGTTATGTTCATGAATCCATATGTATACATGGTTGTTTTTACTTTGTGAAAGTTTTAAAAAGGAAACACCTTTTTGAAAGGTGTAGTTCGACCATAAAAGGTGTTTTGAACACCTTGATTGTTTTCTTATTTTTCTTCATGAATTGTTTTAGAAACATGGCATGAAATTTTTTGAAAATTTGAATCATATACTCTTGTATATGGTTCGGCCATATTGAGATTTATGGCTACATGCATGGTTTAATTTTATGTTCTTTGAGAAAGAATCAATAAAATTTGAATTAAATAAATTGTTGTTTAATTCGGCCAATTGAAGAATTAAGGAAAATTTAGAATTTTAATTATGTTTTAATATTTAATGGTTAAATATCAAGACATACATGAAAAATATATTATATGATAATATTTTTGTACTTGTGAGTTATCTAACATTTCAGGTGCAAAAGAGGAAGGGGATGGCCATGGTGCCCAGAATTTGAAATTTTTAAATTTTAAATTAATTTGTAATTTTGGGCTCTTTTACAAGAGATGTAATTTAAATTTCAAATTTTTGTAATTTAAATTTTGTCCCTCCAAGATGTTTTGGAGTTTCTTTAATTGTAATTAGAGAAATTAGGCTAGTGGCGTATAGACGACAAGAAGCCGAGGCTTGAGAAGCAAGATGGACAAAAGAGCGAGCATCATGACTATCTCAAAATAAAACTGTTTTATTTGCATGTATGTTATTATACGACTAGTATGCAAGAGATAGAGTATCGCGATATGTATACTTTATGGCTTATGACGTCTAGTATGCATGAGTTGGACTAAATCGCGTTTGTATGATTATTATGCAAGTCCAATTGCGACTAGTTTAAACCGTTAGATGTATGACATAGGTTACGACTAGCATGATAATATATTAATGCGTTTGATGAGACTTAATAAACCCTTAATAAAATGAACCCTTAAAAGGAATAAAATTATTAAGCGCATGATTACCTCCCACCACCAATATTACTCAAACCTCATCTAAATAGTGGTGCTCTACAACCCAGTTGGGACCCACTGTTTCGTTGAGTAACAGTAGTATTAGAAGTGTAAGACACTTGGGGTGCTGGTTAGTGCTTAATTGAGACATAAGCTGCAAGCCCAGCCGGGCTTATGTGCTTAGGGTAATAGTGCTAGGTTGGTTGCATGAGATGCACCACTAAGTGACAAGGAGTTGTCAACCTAATGTTAAGAAAGGGTATGAGATACCATTGATAAAGATCAATCCATTATTTAAATTAATCTTGCGGTCTCATACGGGGGTTAAAATAAATAATCGCATTCTTAATCCCACTAAGGTAAATTCTAAAAGTAGAATAACCCTAAGTCAAAAGGAAGGGTC